TATTTAGCTCGCCAAGGCTCGCTAAATACAATGTTTATTCCTAATGCAGGATATTTACCATCCCCAAACACACTCGCGTGATAACCTCTATTTATCTGTTCATATTTTAACGCCAGCCGACCTGTCATTATAAAGAACATAATTGTGAGAGCACGGTTTGCTTAGGTCACAAACCATCTTACACTAAAATCCTAAAGTGCGTAAAGATTCCGATTTTCAAGTTTGACATATAAGTCTGAACGTGCAGAGTTTGAATTGTTATTTATTGCATAGATGGTAAAATGAGGTTTACCGTCTATGCCAAAAGTGTGCTTCTTTAGGTTTAAACGAATTGTGTTTTTTTCTTAGGTGTAAACAATTGATTTTCTGCCACAGTGGCCATTTCCCCTGTTGTCACAAGTATTGTGGTTTCAGTTATCTAAAATTAAATTAAACAAGATCTGCAAGGACACTTGGTTATAGCAAAACAACGAAATATGACCAACAAGCAGCATATGTTACTAAAGTATAAAACAATAACGAGTAGGTATGGCTAAGCAATATGGAAGAGTGATATTTGAAACATGGCGGCGGCTGGGTTCTCCATGCAATGCTTCAGCTCCATAAGCCTTGGGATTCCTTTTACAGATGGATGCAAACAATATGTCCTGACCTCATATCTTTCATCTCTGTTGTCTTGGACTCAGGCTTTGACAAATCGGACTCGATCTTACTGCCGTCTGACCTAGCCATCTTACAACAGAAAGCAAACGTATTCCTGTACTAGATGTCAGAACAAAGCGTAAGATGGTTCGTGTGTCATTGCAAGATGATCCCGCTACTGAAATGTAGAAATTGTGAGATGGTCCCTCCATCAGGTGTAGATATTGTTGGACGGTCCATCCATCAGACGTAGATTGTGAGATGGTCCCTTCAGTCAGGTGTAGAGATAAGGGGTGGTCCATCTACCAGGTGTGGAGATAATTGGAGGTGGTCCATCTATCAGTTGTAGACACTGTAAGATGGTCCATCTATCAGTTGTAGATTGCGAGATGGTCTATCAATCAGATTTAGAGATTGTGAGATGGTCCATCTATCAGATTTAGAGATTGCGAGATGGTCCATCTATCAGTTGTAGAGATTGTGAGGTGGTCCATCTATTAGTTGTAGAGGTGAGGTGAAATTGGGTTTAACGTCGCGTCCAAGATTATTGCACTTACATAGCGACGTGCATGCACGTGTATGTGTGTGTGTGGCTTCTTGTACTAGTCCGGACTGATGCCGATTTATAGTGCCAGCTCACTGAGTTACCATGCCGCAGTTTAACATGAATACCCCCACTCAGACACAGTATACTGACGCCGAGCCGACCAGTCCTTGTTTTAGCCCCTTAATGCCGAGCGCCAGACAGGGTAACAACACGTACCATCTTTTAACGTCTTTTTGTATGACGTGGCCCGGGATCGAACCCTGGACCTTCCGCTCTCCGGGCGGACGCTCTACCACAAGACCACGGAGGCGGTATCAGTTGTAGAGAGATTGTGAGATGGTCCATCTATCAGTTGTAGGGATTGTGAGATTTTCCATCTATCAGTTGTAGAGATTGTGAGATGGTCCATCTACCAGGTGTGGAGATAATTGAAGATGGTCCATCTATCAGTTGTAGAGATTGTGAGATGATCTATCAATCAGATGTAGAGATTGTGAGATGGTCCATCTATCAGTTGTAGCGATTGTGATATTTTCCATCTATCAGTTGCAGAGATTGTGAGATGGTCCATTTATCAGGTGTAGAGATTGTGAGATGGTCCATCTATCAGTTGTAGAGATTGTGAGATGGTCCATCTATCAGTTGTAGAGATTGTAAGATGGTCCATCCATCAGATGTAGAGATTGTGAGATGGTCCATCTATCAGATTTGGAGATTGTGAGATGGTCCATCTATCAGTTGTAGAGATTGTGAGATGGTCCATCCATCAGATGTAGGGATTGTGAGATGGTCCATCTATCAGTTGTAGGGATTGTGAGATTTTCCATCTATCAGTTGTAGAGATTGTGAGATGGTCCATCTATCAGTTGTAGAGATTGTGAGATGGTCCATCTATCAGTTGTAGAGATTGTGAGATGGTCCATCTATCAGTTGTAGAGATTGTAAGATGGTCCATCTATCAGTTGTAGAGATTGTCCATCTATCAGATTTAGAGATTGTGAGATGGTCCATCTATCAGTTGTAGAGATTGTGAGATGGTCCATCTATCATCAGTTGTAAATATTGTGAGATGGTCCATCTATCAGTTGTAGGGATTGTGAGATGGTCCATCCATCAGATGTAGAGATTGTGAGATTTTCCATCTATCAGTTGTAGAGATTGTGAGATGGTCCATCTATCAGTTGTAGAGATTGTGAGATGGTCCATCTATCAGTTGTAGAGATTGTGAGATGGTCCATCTACCAGGTGGGGAGATAATTGAAGATGGTCTATCTATCAGTTGTAGAGATTGTGAGATGGACCATCTATCAGTTGTAGAGATTGTGAGATGGTCCATCTATCAGTTGTAGAGATTGTGAGATGGTCCATCTATCAGTTGTAGAGATTGTGAGATGGTCCATCTATCAGATTTAGAGATTGTGAGATGGTCCATCTATCAGTTGTAGAGATTGTGAGATGGTCCATCTATCATCAGTTGTAAAGATTGTGAGATGGTCCATCTATCAGTTGTAGAGATTGTGAGATGGTCCATCCATCAGATGTAGAGATTGTGAGATGGTCCATCTATCAGTTGTAGAGATTGTGAGATGGTCCATCCATCAGATGTAGGGATTGTGAGATGGTCCATCTATCAGTTGTAGGGATTGTGAGATTTTCCATCTATCAGTTGTAGAGATTGTGAGATGGTCCATCTATCAGTTGTAGAGATTGTGAGATGGTCCATCTATCAGTTGTAGAGATTGTGAGATGGTCCATCTATCAGTTGTAGAGATTGTGAGATGGTCCATCTACCAGGTGTGGAGATAATTGAAGATGGTCCATCTATCAGTTGTAGAGATTGTAAGATGATCTATCAATCAGATGTAGAGATTGTGAGATGGTCCATCTATCAGTTGTAGGGATTGTGAGATTTTCCATCTATCAGTTGTAGAGATTGTGAGATGGTCCATCTATCAGATTTAGAGATTGTGAGATGGTCCATCTATCAGTTGTAGAGATTGTGAGATGATCTATCAATCAGATGTAGAGATTGTGAGATAGTCCATCTATCAGATTTAGAGATTGTGAGATGGTCCATCTATCAGTTGTAGAGATTGTGAGATGGTCCATCTATCAGTTGTAGAGATTGTGAGATGGTCCATCTATCAGTTGTGGAGATTGTGAGATGGTCCATCTATCAGTTGTAGAGATTGTGAGATGGTCCATCTATCAGATTTGGAGATTGTGAGATGGTCCATCTATCAGATTTGGAGATTGTGAGATGGTCCATCTATCAGTTGTAGAGATTGTGAGATGGTCCATCTATCAGTTGTAGGGATTGTGAGATTTTCCATCTATCAGTTGTAGAGATTGTGAGATGGTCCATCTATCAGTTGTAGGGATTGTGAGATGGTCCATCTATCAGTTGTAGAGATTGTGAGATGGTCCATCTACCAGGTGTGGAGATAATTGAAGATGGTCCATCTATCAGTTGTAGAGATTGTGAGATGATCTATCAATCAGATGTAGAGATTGTGAGATGGTCCATCTATCAGTTGTAGGGATTGTGAGATTTTCCATCTATCAGTTGTAGAGATTGTGAGATGGTCCATCTATCAGATTTAGAGATTGTGAGATGGTCCATCTATCAGTTGTAGAGATTGTGAGATGGTCCATCTATCAGTTGTAGAGATTGTGAGATGGTCCATCTATCAGTTGTAGAGATTGTGAGATGGTCCATCTATCAGTTGTAGAGATTGTGAGATGGTCCATCTATCAGTTGTAGAGATTGTGAGATGGTCCATCTATCAGTTGTAGAGATTGTGAGATGGTCCATCTATCAGTTGTAGAGATTGTGAGATGGTCCATCTATCAGTTGTAGAGATTGTGAGATGGTCCATCTATCAGTTGTAGAGATTGTGAGATGGTCCATCCATCAGATGTAGAGATTGTGAGATGGTCCATCTATCAGTTGTAGAGATTGTGAGATGGTCCATCCATCAGATGTAGGGATTGTGAGATGGTCCATCTATCAGTTGTAGGGATTGTGAGATTTTCCATCTATCAGTTGTAGAGATTGTGAGATGGTCCATCTATCAGTTGTAAAGATTGTGAGATGGTCCATCTATCAGTTGTAGAGATTGTGAGATGGTCCATCTACCAGGTGTGGAGATAATTGAAGATGGTCCATCTATCAGTTGTAGAGATTGTGAGATGATCTATCAATCAGATGTAGAGATTGTGAGATGGTCCATCTATCAGTTGTAGAGATTGTGAGATGGTCCATCTATCAGATTTAGAGATTGTGAGATGGTCCATCTATCAGTTGTAGAGATTGTGAGATGGTCCATCTATCAGTTGTAGAGATTGTGAGATGGTCCATCTATCAGATTTAGAGATTGTGAGATGGTCCATCTCTCAGTTGTAGAGATTGTGAGATGGTCCATCTATTAGTTGTAGAGATTGTGAGATGGTCCATCTATCAGTTGTAGAGATTGTGAGATGGTCCATCTATCAGTTGTAGAGATTGTGAGATGGTCCATCTATCAGTTGTAGAGATTATGAGATGGTCCATCCATCAGATGTAGAGATTGTGAGATGGTCCATCTATCAGATTTGGAGATTGTGAGATGGTCCATCTATCAGATTTAGAGATTGTGAGATGGTTTATTTGACTGATGCAGATATTTCTAGCCAATCCATCTGTCAGGTGTAGAGATTTACTCTATGACATTATAGGACAGAAAACATACTCATTTCAACAGGGAGTCGATTAAGAGTTCCATAAGGAAAGGGAAAGCAGTTAACCACTTCAACAAACAAGACAACATTGTTCTGAAATAATATTTATTGCAGGTACATCTGGCTCAGTTGATAGGAGGAAGTCAACAGGTGTCTGTCGTACCAGACCCAACAGAGTTATTTCCCTTTTGTTGGCCAGCCAACGCTTCAATCACTTTGCTGTACATATTACCAGACAAACCAGACAGGTTGCTCTCCCTCACACTGCCTCACAACACCATCTGCACTTCTCACTCAACTGCCATGTTGAACATGTGTCAGTGTTTTGTATACTTCTACCCTCACATGTCAACTGCTGTGCTTTGCTTGTATCAACTGTCTTGCATTGCTTATATAAACTGCTTACCGAGTGACTTATATACCTTGTATAAACTGCTTTGTATTGTTTGTATTAACTGATTGTATGGCTTGTATCAACTGCTTTGTATTGTTTGTATTAGCTGATTGTATTGCTTGTATCAACTGCTTGCATTGCTTGTATCAACTGTTTTGCATTGCTTATATAAACTGCTTACCGACTGACTTATATACCTTGTATAAACTGCTTTTATTGCTTGAATGAACAGCTTTGTATTGCTTGTATCAACGGCTTTGTATTGCTTATATCAACTGCTTTTATTGCTTGTATCAACTGCTTTGCATTGCTTGTATCAACTGCTTGTATTGCTTGTATCAACTGCTTGTATTGCGTGTTTCAACTGCTCCGTTTATTTTTTTCTTCGTTGCTTTTATTGCTTGTATCAACTGATTGGATTGTTTGTACCAACTTATCGTATAACTTGTATCAACTGCTTTGTATTGTTTGTATTAGCTGATTGTATTGCTTGTATCAACTGCTTGCATTGCTTGTATCAACTGTTTTGCATTGCTTATATAAACTGCTTACCGACTGACTTATATACCTTGTATAAACTGCTTTTATTGCTTGAATGAACAGCTTTGTATTGCTTGTATCAACGGCTTTGTATTGCTTATATCAACTGCTTTTATTGCTTGTATCAACTGCTTTGCATTGCTTGTATCAACTGCTTGTATTGCTTGTATCAACTGCTTGTATTGCGTGTTTCAACTGCTCCGTTTATTTTTTTCTTCGTTGCTTTTATTGCTTGTATCAACTGATTGGATTGTTTGTACCAACTTATCGTATAACTTGTATCAACTGCTTTTATTGCTTGTATGAACTGTTTGTATTGCTTGTATCAATTGCTTTGTGTTGCTTGAATGAACTACTTTGTATTGCTTGTATCAACTGTTTTGTATTGCTTATATAAACTGCTTGTATTGCCCGTATCAACTGCTTGTATTGCTTGTATCAACTGATTGTATTGTTTGTACCAACAGATTGTATAACTTGTATCAACTGCTTGTATTGCCTGTATCAACTGCTTGTATTGCTTGTATCAACTGCTTTTATTGCTTGTATCAACTGTTTGTATTGCTTGTATCAACTGTTTGTATTGCTTGTATCAACTGTTTGTATTGCTTGTATCAACTGCTTCTTATTGCTTGTACCAACTGCTTGTATCAACTGTTTGTATTGCTTGTATCAACTGCTTTGCATTGCTTGTATCAACTGCTTGTATTGCTTGTATCAACTGCTTGTATTGCGTGTTTCAACTGCTCCGTTTAGTTACAATTGCATTGTATCAACTGTTCACATTATAATGAATGTTCCACAATGTATTGACTGTTAACAGTATCAGTGGTTTCACATTGTATTGATGGTTCAACACAGTATCAACTATTCGATATTGTACCAACTATTACATGTTGTATGTACTCTTACCCATTGTATCAGTGGTATAGACTTATACACTGTATCCAATGTTACAGTTAACTGTATCCAGCTACCCACTGTATCGATTGTTACCCAGTGTCACCTGTTACACACTGTAGTGACTGTTACACACTGTAGTGACTGTTTTACACACTGTAGTGACTGTTACACATTGTAGCGACTGTTACACACTGTTGCCCATGACTGCCAATGTTACCAACAGTATTCAATGTTACAAACTGTATCGACTGTTACACACTGTATCCACTGTTACACATTGTAGCAACTGTTACACACTTTAGCAACTGTTACACTGTATCAGCAGCCTCCCCAGGTGAGTCTTGCCACATGATCTGTCTTTCTCTTGGTTGGTTTGATGAAGCCCAGGAATTGCAGCTCTGAGACTGAACGAATAAATCGAGCCCTGACACAGGTTAAAGAATCAAAACACATTTCACAATGCCTGCATAACAGTCATACTACATCATCTAGAAAATACCAAACTGGCAAAGTAGTTTCAGAGAAGAAGATGACCAACAAAGTTTCTGAAGTTCACCATGCTGACTGGCAACAATGATGCTGAAACCAAAGAGATCTGACAAATTAGTAAAATAAGTTTCAAAAACTAGAAATCCCAGCCAATCCATAACATCATTCTTAACAACTTTAACAGCATTAGTGAGTGAGTATGGTTTTACACCACTTCTAGCAATATTCCAGCAATATCACGGCAGGGGACACCAGAAATAGGCTTCACACATTGTACCATGTCAGGATTCGATCCCGAGTCTTCAGCATGACGAGTGAACGCTTTAACCACTAGTCTACCCGACCGCCCCTTTAACAGCATTACATATAACTGTGATATTATGTTTCTGCAACTCAGCAAAGGATACTGCAATAGACTGTCCTCATCCTTTGTCCTCTTCTTCCCATCTTCTGTTACCACTGTGATGAAAGCCTGGAGGACAACATATATATTACCATTATGAACATAGACAGGGAAATATTTATAGTAATTCTCTTAATAAATTTAAATTCAGACAGACTGGCTAACTGACTCCTACTGTTCCATGTTGCTCACACTGTCAGATCATTGCAATTTTGCAAATGGATGAAGACGACCTCTTCTTTTCTTAAGTCAAAGAAGATGCGATATCTTATAAACAACAGACTGACAATAGTTATTAGGGACTGACTATTTAATTTACAGGGTGGGGTAGGGTAGGGGTGGGGGTAATTTTCTTCAATACAGAATATTTTGTACAGTCAGTGCTGACATGTATGTTACTTGTTCTTCTGAAAGAAGAATAAATCAAATTTAGGGGAACCAGAGCACATTTTTTTAAACTTTTTGTTGTAACACCTGAGGACAAATTCTATTTTTCCTGTATTCTCGGCAACAGAATATCAAGTGGTCCGTCCCTTAATGCTGCTATGGCCATGACTGAATCACTCACCTGAAGCCAGTCATACAGATTGATGAGTTGAGGACACTCCAGGTGCAGTTTATACACAACACAGAGATCCGGCATCGAGGGCGTGATTGCCCCATGCTCTCCTTCACAGCACTCACACTGCAAGCAGATAGGGCATGTCAGAAAACATCAACCTTGTCAGTGCTTCTTACCCAGGAGAATCTAGCACAGACATCACAAGAGTAAAAAGCAAACATATTCCCAGCTCGTACTCACCTGGAGGTACTTGGCTTGGATACTGAGCTGAGGACCTTACAGCTCATAGTCACCTGGAGGTACTTGGCTGGGTTACAGAGTCATGGACCTTACAGCTCATAGTCACCAGGAGGTACTTTGCCGGGTTACAGAGTCATGGACCTTACAGCTCATAGTCACCAGGAGGTACTTTGCCGGGTTACTGAGTCATGGACCTTACAGCTCATAGTCACCAGGAGGTACTTGGCTGGGTTACTGAGCTGTGGACCTTACAGCTCATAGACACCTGGAGGTACTTGGCCTGGTTATGGAGTCATGGACCTTACAGCTCGTACTCACCTGGAGGTACATGGCCGGGTTACGGAGTCATGGACCTTACAGCTCGTACTCACCTGGAGGTACTTGGCCTGGTTACGGAGTCAGGGACCTCACAGCTCGTACTCACCTGGAGGTACTTGGCCTGGTTACGGAGTCATGGACCTTACAGCTCGTACTCACCTGGAGGTACTTGGCTGGGTTACTGAGTGCCTTCTGTATAGCAAGGCGTGGTGATGCGTTGATGTGTCGCCGGACACCGGACACCGAGCTGTGGTAGACCAGTTCATGTAGAGGCTGACTGCTTGGGCATTTTAAGTACTTCCTGCAGGAGGAACATTAGCATATGTTTGTTTGTTTGTTGTTTCAACACTACTCAGTAATATCAGCAATATGAAGGCAGCCTGTAAATAATCAAAACTGATCCAGACAATCCAGTGATTGATATTGTGATTATAGATCCACACAATTTAGGTGAGGCGAGGTGAAATGGGGTTAAACGTCGCGTCCAAGATTATTGCACTTACCGTATATAGCGACGTGCATGTACGTGTGTGTTTGTGTGGCTGCTTGCCGATTTATAGTGCTAGCGCACTAAGATACAGTTTAACATGAATATCCCACTCAGACACAGTATACTGACTCCGAGCCGACCAGTCCTTGTTTTAGCTCCTTAATGCCGAGCGCCAGACAGGGTAACAACAAGTACCATCTCTTAACGTCTTTTGGTATGACGCGGCCAGGGATCAAACCCCGGACCTTCCCCTCTCCGGGCGGACGCTCTAGCTCAAGACCACGGAGGCGGACACGCAATCACAGTCACCGAGTTGGACCACCCGATCCATAAAATTGCCTCGCACCAACACATAACATTTAAGCCTTCAATAATTTAAAAAATACACAGAAAACATCCTCTGTGACTTCTCATGTCATGATCCCTGATGTCAGTTTGATATCAAACCCTGTTGTCACAAGACTGAGGACCAACAATTATTCTTACCTAAACAGTGCATCAAAGAAGTCAACAACTGCTTCTCTCTGTTGTTCAAATGGTGAAAATCTTCTTTTCTTCCCCATTTCCTTTAAAGTCTGGAATCAGCAACAGTCCAGCAATGTCAGATGTAGTAATACCAGTAATCGTCATATTGTAATCACCAGGTGAGGTGAAATGGGTTTTAGCGTCGCTTCAAGATTATTGCACTTATACATCGACGCTCATACACATGAACATCTGTGTGGCTGCTTGTTCTAGTCAAGACTAATGCCAATTTTAGAGTGCTAGCCCACTGAGATACCATGCCAGAGTTTAACATACCCCACTCAGACACAGTATGCTGACTCTGAGCTGACAAGTCCTTGTTTTAGCCCCTTAATTCTGGGTTCCAGGCAGGGTAACAAGTACCATCTTTTAACGTCTATTGGTATGACGAGCCAGAGATCGAGCCCCCAACCCTCCGCTCTCCGAGCAGATGCTCTACCACTAGACCTGAAGGTGGTCTGATGGACCAGGCAAATTGGTGACTAAAAAGATGATGCCCCGGTGAATGAAGCACCAGATACATGGGACTTGTGTCATAGACACTGAAAACAGTCTTGACACAATGCCGACACTTTATATAGAACAAATTAATCTCATTTATAAGCATGGGTTGAAGACTCATACAAAGTCCTTATATGAAAGGTAAAAAGGTTGTCCCACTTTGTATAAGACACATATTAAACTGGGGACACAGTGCCCAGTCATCTAAAGCACTGGGCAGAGTTGTGTCCCTTGGGCGTGCCAGAAGCCTATGCTCATTGGTATGAATTCTGGTTCGCTGTGATTATGTTTCAGCACCATACCCAAGCTCTTGGATTTCACCAAAGTAGTAAACATCTAAGACCTGCATCACTTCAGGCTTTCCTCCGTCACTGTGATATAACCAGAGTATGGTTAAAATAGGTGTTAATTCAAATCACTCACTCACACATGGAACAAGCTTATATCTGTCCTGGGTAATGGCCCCAAAATACAGTATCACCATGCCTTAGGTACTTCCTACCTTGCGGAGAGTGTGCAGATCTGTCTTTGTGAATTGGACTTCATTCTTCTCAGCCGGCTCTGCCTCTGGAGCTTCCTCTGATACACAAGAACAATACTGTCAGCAGTGCCCACAACACACTGCTGGACATCCTCCTACAGATGCTATAATTTGCAATAAGGAACATCTGGGATAAGCTGGGTCTAAAATTGTAATAAAAAACATGATCAACTGCATAGTTTTGATAACTTGCATCTTATTACACAAAGACTTCACCATGTCCAAAACCAGTAAACCTCACAAGCCAACACATACCATGCCACGCTCCAGACAAAGACATACCATGCGACCCTCCAAACAAAGACACCCCGTGCAACCCTCCAGACAAAGACACCCCATGCAACCCCCTACACACACACCCCATGCCATCCCCCACACACAGACATCCCATGCCACCCTCCAGACAAAGACACCCCATGCAACCCCCTACACACAGACACCCCATGCAACCCCCTACACACAGACACCCCATGCCACCCTCCAGACAAAGACACCCCATGCAACCCCCTACACACAGACACCCCATGCCACCCTCCAGACAAAGACACCCCATGCAACCCCCTTCACACACACCCCATGCAACCTCTACACACAGACACCCCATGCCACCCTCCAGACAAAAACACCCCATGCAACCCCCTACACACACACCCCATGCAACCTCTACACACAGACACCCCATGCAACCCCCTACACACAGACACCCCATGCAACCCCCTACACACAGACACCCCGTGCAACCTTTCAGACAAAGACACCCCATGCAACCCCCTACACACACACTCCATGCCATCCCCCACACACAGACACCCCATGCCACCCTCCAGACAAAGACACCCCATGCAACCCCCTACACACAGACACCTCATGCAACCCCCTACACACAGACACCCCATGCAACCCCCTACACACACACCCCATGCAACCCCCTACACACACATCCAATGCCACCCTCCAGACAAAGACACCCCATGCAACCCCCTACACACACATCCCATGCCACCCTCCAGACAAAGACACCCCATGCAACCCCCTACACACACATCCCATGCCACCCTCCAGACAAAGACATCCCATGCCATCCCCCACACACAGACACCCCATGCAACCCCCTACACACAACCAATGCCACCCTCCAGACGAAGACACCCCATGCAACCCCTCACAGACATACACCCCATGCCACCCACCCCCCCCCCCACACACAATGCCACCCTCCAGACAAAGACATCCCATGCAACCCCCTACACACACACCCAATGCCACCCTCCAGACAAAGACATCCCGTGCAACCCCTCACAAACACACACCCCATGCAACCCCCTACACAGAAACCCAATGCCACCCTCCAGACAAAGACACCCCGTGCAACCCCCTACACACACACACCATGCAACCCCCTACACACACACCCAATGCCACCCTCCAGACAAAGACACCCCATGCAACCCCCTACACACACACCCCTCGAACCCCCTACACAGAAACCCCATGCCACCCTCCAAACAAAGACACCCCATGCAACCCCCTACACACACACACACCTCGAACCCCCTACACAGACACCCCATGCCACCCTCCAGACAAAGACACCCCATGCAACCCCCTACACACAGACCCCATGCAACCCCCTACACAGACACCTAATGCCACCCTCCAAACAAAGACACCCCATGCAACCCCCTACACACACACCCCTCGAACCCCCTACACACAGACACCCCATGCAACCCCCTACACACACCCCCCTTGAACCCCCTACACAGACACCCCATGCAACCCCCTACACACACACCCAATGCCACCCTCCAAACAAAGACACCCCATGCAACCCCCTACACACACACCCCTCAGCCCCCTACACAGACATCCCATGCAACCCCCTACACACAGACACCCCATGCAACCCCCTACACACACACCCCTCAGTCAGCCCCCTACACAGACATCCCATGCAACCCCCTTCACACACACCCCATGCAACCCCCTACACACACCCAATGCCACCCTCCAGACAAAGACACCCTGTGCAACCACTCACAAACACCCCATGCCATCCCCCCACACACAGACACCCCATGCCACCCTCCAAAGACACCCCATGCCACCCTCCAGACAAAGACACCCCATGCCACCCTCCAGACACCCCATGCCACCCTCCAGACAAAGACACCCCATGCCACCCTCCAGCCACCCTCCAGACAAAGACATACCATGCCACCCTCCAGACAAAGACATACCATGCCATCCCCTACACACATACATACCATGCCACCCTCCAGACAAAGACACCCCATGCCACCCTCCAGACAAAGACACCCCATGTAACCTACACACACATCCCATGCCACCCCCCCTACACAGAAACCCCATGCCACCCTCCAGACAAAGACACCCCATGCAACCCCCTACACACACATCCCATGCAACCTCTACACACAGACACCCCATGCAACCCCCTACACACAGACACCCCATGCCATCCCCCACACACAGACACCCCATGCCACCCTCCAGACAAAGACACCCATGCAACCCCCTACACACACATCCCATGCCATCCCCCCTACACAGACACCCCATGCCACGCTCCAAACAAAGACACCCCATGTAACCCCCTACACACACATCCCATGCCATCCCCCCTACACAGAAACCCCATGCCACCCTCCAAACAAAGACACCCTATGCCACCCTCCAAAGACATCCCATGCAACCCCCTACACACGCCCAATGCCACCCCCCAACCCCCACACACCACACCACCCAACAGATACCTCACAACAGATACCTCACACCACCCCACACCTATACACTCCATACCACCCTACACATCAACCCAACATACACACTCCATACCACTCTACACATCAACCCATGACACCCAACACACACCATGCCACTCTACACATCCATCCAACACACAGACACCACACAGACACCCCACAGACACCTCATACCACCCCACAGACACCCCATACCACCCACAGACACCCCATACCAACCCACAGACACCCCATAGACACCCCATACCACCCCACAGACATCCCATACCAACCTACAGACACCCACCTTCTTCCTTCTCCAGAAGAACCAGGAGTTCACTGAGTTGGTCCGGCAGCTGATCCAGCTCCGGAGGAAGATCCAGCGACATGGTCCGCTCCACACACAACATGACCAGGCTTGACAACTCATCCTTCGACAACATCCTGGTAAGCATGACAAGTCAAGATAACAACAAACATCAGCATATATAGTCACAAATATTTTGAGTTAGTGAGTGAGTGAGAGAGTGAGTGAGTGAGTGAGTGAGTGAGTGGGTGGGGGGGTAGGTGAGTGAGTGAGTGAGTGAGTGAGTGGGTGGGTGGGTGGGTAGGTGAGTGAGTGTGTGAGTGAGTGGAAGTGAGCAAAGATACCTGAAGAGTGTCATGGCCTCCTTGTAAGCCTCACTGTCACACACATCAGACTCGAGGCTGGTGGCGTACAGCTCCCGCAGCTGCAACAGGAAGGAAGGCCTGAAGTGATGCATGTCTTGGAAACATCAGGGTTAGTCTGGAATTCTATACCCATTATCATGTCAGTTTACACAGATGCAAGTCTGTATCAGGACTACAGGATGTAACATAACTCAAGAAGCGGTGACAGAACATACCTGCTTGCCAAGAGGGTATCTGGGAAGAACGGACCCCCACACATTCAGGCACTGTAGGATGGGGAAGAAGGCAATGTGGTAGTCATGGAGACCAACAAGTAGATCCTGCACTCGTTCCTGACAACACAACACCACATGTCAACAAGTAGAACTCCGACAACACAACGGATGAACTGTTGCAATGCTGACACCCCATATCAACAAACACTAAAAGGTTCAGTGTTTCTCGATTCTCTTCAGTGTTTCTCAATTCACTTCAGTGTCTCTCAATTCACTTCAGTGTCTCTCGATTCACTTCAGTGTTTCTTGATTCACTTAAGTGTTTCTTGATTCACTTCAGTGTTTCTCAATTCTCTTCAGTGTTTCTCAATTCACTTTAGTGTTTCTCGATTCACTTCAGAGTTTCTCGATTCACTTCAGTGTTTCTCGATTCACTTCAGTGTTTCTCGATTCACTTCAGTGTTTCTCGATTCAGGACAGGACGGACACAACACCATAATATTTCAAAATGTTAAAATGTATCAAGAAACAGGTCATATAGAAATATCTCAAATCCATCCATGGGGCATCAGAGTCATAGCTGACCATTCAATATTTAGCTGACGAGAGCCTCATGGCGGATCACACATTGTTACCTTCAAGAACTTGTCATCATCCTGGAGTCTGGACTGGTCTTCCGAGGAACAGCTCTCCTCCATGTACCTGTAGTGACACACACAGATAAATCACTGCACTAGAACTACTATTGAGTCTGGACTGGTCTTCCAAGGAACAGCTCTCCTCCATGTACCTGTAGTGACACACACAGATAAATCACTGCACTAGAACTACTATTGAGTCTGGACTGGTCTTCCGAGGAACAGCTCTCCTCCATGTACCTGTAGTGACACACACAGATAAATCACTGCACTAGAACTACTATTGAGTCTGGACTGGTCTTCCGAGGAACAGCTCTCCTCCATGTACCTGTAGTGACACACACAGATAAATCACTGCACTAGAACTACTATTGAGTCTGGACTGGTCTTCCAAGGAACAGCTCTCCTCCATGTACCTGTAGTGACACACACAGATAAATCACTGCACTAGTGTGAGTGAGAGAGTTGGGTTTAACGCCGATTTTAACAGTATTCCAGTTATATCACGGCGTGTCAGCTTAATGTGGGAGGAAAGCCTGAAGTGATGCAGGTCTCAGACGTTTACCACTTCGGTGAAACCCACGAGCATGGGTATGGTGCCAACAAACCTAGAAACATAATTGGGGCGAACCGGGATTCGAACCCACAATCATAGGTTTCTGGCGTGCCTAAGGGACGCAACTCTGCACAGCGAATCGCAGCGCCTTAGACGACTGGGCCATCTGGGCCCCCCACTGCACTAGAACTACTGTGAGTTTATGTTATAATGAGAAAGTGAGTTTGGTTTTGATTTAGCAACATTCCAGCAATATTTTGGCAGGGGACAACACAAAATGGCTTCCTTCCCTCATTGTGTGCCGGGGATGAAACCCAGGTCATCTGCCGGCGGAGTGATTGCTTTAACCATTAGGCTACCCTACCACTGCCTATGTATGGGAATATGGGAATTCCAACAAATACTTTGTTTTTTTGTTTGTTTTTTGTTTGTTCAACACACTCTTCAATATTCCTGCTATATGATGGCAGTCTGGAAATAATCGAGTCTGGACCATACAAATCCAGTGATTGACATCATAAGCATCCATCTACACAATTGGGATACGGCGACATCCATCAACCAACTCAGCAAGCCTGACCACCCGATCTGTTTAGTCAGCTCTTACAACAAGCATGGGTTGCTAAAGAACAATTCTAACCTACATCTTCACATGGGGTCTACACAGGTACTGACTGAACAAGCAAGTTTAGTTTATTGTCACTTTGACCAGTATGTCAGTTACATCACAGCATGTCAAGATGTGGGAGGAAAGCACAAAGGAAGCAGATTCCATATGTCTAACACTTTGTTGAAACCCACAAGCACAGATGGTGCAGATACACAATAAAACACAAGTAGGGTGAATATGGGATTCAAACCCAGGATCATAGGATTCTTGCACATCTAAGGGACACAACTCTACACAGTGATGTACAGTACCATGGATGAGAGGCCACCAGTGCCCTGCTAAAGGAAGGGGGATAGATCTTGAATGTTCCATACACACCTGGTGAAGGAGGGTACCTGTCGGAGTCTGTCCAGTTCCTTGTGGCTGAGACTGGACACAGCGCTGTCTACATCCACCAGGTGGCAGCACAAGTGACTCAAGGGCTGGGTGTAGAAATGCTCCAACATGCAGAACTGGGAACATTAAACAAATGTCATGTCATGTCATGTCATGTGTCATGCTTCACATCATGTCACGTGTCATGCTTTCACATGTCATGATGCCACAATGCTATGTCATTTTGCTGTCTTTCTCTACAAGCTTTGGGCTATGAGTTCAAATGACAACCATGTCAAATCCCACATGATATATACAGAAAGTTGTCACTACGTACCTGGAGCCCCTTGATAAAGTTGAGGACGGAGAAGTCGTGGTACAGGAAGATGTCAAGAAGCAGCTGGAACACTTTGGGCCCAAGTTTGAAGGGAAACGTTGCTGTCATCAGCACCTGCACAGAAATAACATTCACACAGTACTACAAGTAGCAAGTTAACCTGCTTGTTTGCCATGACCAGCCCGTGTCTCATCAACAAGGCTAACCACTGACAATGTAGACATAATTTATGGATAACAACTTCTTTATTAACTGTAAAGGCGACATTTCAGTAGAGATCTTTATACCGTTATCAAGTTGCATTACAACATCGCCTTGACAGTAAATAAAGAAGATGTTTTCCATAAATTGTGTCTACTTTGTCATCCGTTAACTTCTAAGTAACAGAGCTCCAGATAAGCTTTTGGTGTTGTGGGTATTTTACCCATGTATTTTAAAATCATTGGGTATCAGTAATTCTATCTGCGTATTCAAATTTCAGTTACCCTCTAGTTTTTACACATGTGGGTATTTAAGTTGAATATTTAAAAACACTATTCATCTAGTCCCTGCAAACTGGTGTCGTGTAGGTTCGAGAGCTTTATAGGACTCAAAAATACCACAATACTTCCACAAGAAAGTGTGATGGCAAATGATCATGATGTAACTGTCATCATGGAGTTGGGCAAGGTTGACGGAATGCCCGTTTATAATTTAAAAAAAAGTAGCTGATTTGCTAATCGAATACGCAGAGTTACTTCACAATATTTTGATGATATGCACGAGTTTTATTTTTGTAGCGTATCTGTAATGTTCGTTGCGTATTTGATACGCTTGGATTATATTTTACTGCGTATTTCTGCATTTCTGATGCGTATTTTACGCAGATACGCAGCTTATCTGGAGCTCTGTAAGTAATGCCTATAAAACAATTGAAGACTAACCATTCACTTGAGGCAGTGAGTGAGTATGGTTGTATGCCTCTTTTAGCAATATTCCAGCCATAACACAGCATGGGTAGTCCATGAGCCAGACCCCTGATTTTTATGTTTGACTACCAAATGGAGGGACAAAGTTCCATTGTGGTTTTCAGATATTCTGATGTCCAAACTACATGAAATCACATGATGGACATCCCACATGTCCAGCTAAATGTCATTTTAGCCGCCATTTTCAATATGGCCGCCATTTTTTTCCAATTTGCTCCAAATTTCAGAAATAAGCATTAAAAACAGAATTTACAATTCCTAGAGAACTTTTGTGTAATGAAATGTGTCAGGCACTAAATTCCACACATTTTGATATACAATTTGTATGGTTTTGTGTTATAAATATTTCTCTGTTATCAAATTATATTGTAAAATCTATTTTCTTTTTTTTTTCATTATGCAAAGACATTAAGAATTGTTTACTTCAGTGTTATGGCTTTACATATGGCACACACACCCACACCCGTGCTGATAGAGAAGGAGACTGGTATCTTCATCTTGCTTGCATCAGAAATGTCATACCTTGGTGCATGGCAATGAACAAAACCAACTATGCACGGTTTCTTCCTGTGTACTTTGCTCAGATGACTCGGATAAAGGAGACAAGTCCATGGATGTATGAGCACTTTCACAACAAGGGTTTCTCTGTTCAACGGAGGAAAATGAATACCTTTGGCAGGATTACAGTTGATGAGACCACAGAAGAAACGGTAAACAAATACACCCAAACTGCTGGTGGAACACGAGGGTCCAGTCTCAAGCCAGGGACCGTGTCACGCTACTATCTCACTGCTGAACACAGAGCAGCTGCATTGAGACAACTATGTGAACAAATTTCAGTGCAGTCACGTTCCCTTAGCCATTCAGACCTGGACAGACCACGCATACGTAGAGATGAACATGACACCAGATCATTAGTTGATACATTGGAGAACTGGACAAACCCGCTTTCTGAAGACTCAGATCTTGTTTGCATATCCACTGGAGCAGTGCCCCCCCCCTTGAAGTTTCTGCCGATCTTTTGACATCAAGACAAAACGGAGAGGAAGCTTATCAGGCGTTCCAAGCAGAACGGCTTCAGAAGGGTGAAGGTTTCTACAACACCGTGAAGAAGATGAATTTGAAATCATTTATGGACATTAACAAGAAGACAAGCAAGTGTACAAACACAGAAATCATCCTAAAAGCTGACAGAAGAGTGTTTGCAAATATTGTTCTCATTGCCCAGAACAGAAGGTTAGACATTCTTGATGTGCTAACAACCCTCTTGGTCCACTACCCTGGCCTCTTGCAAATGGTGATGGCACAATGAAAAAGACAAATAAATCTGCTCTGGCAAAACACTTGGAGACTAAAGTGTCGTTTGCAGATGGTACCCCCCCCCCCCCCCCCCCCCCCCCACCCACCCAAATTGCTGCTCTTCTTGGTGCTATGGCCATCATTCAGAAAATCCACGGCGAAAATCACACATTTGATGAGCTGTCTGATCGAGTGTTTGCCCAGATGTTGCATGCTGGTCAGGGATGTAACAGAATTGATGTGGTGTTTGATGTGTACAGGGAACAGTCAATAAAGTCAGCTGAGCGTCTGAATCGGGGTTCAACTGAAGGCATTATCTTCACGCAGATAAGAAAAGGACACAAACTGAAAAACTGGAGACGACTTCTTGCATGTACCGAGAGTAAGAACAACCTCACTAGATTTCTGGCACAGAGTTGGAAAGTGCTAAGGTGACGTGAACAGCTCGGTTACAAAAGTATGTTTGTTACACACGGAAGTATGTGCATTCAGTTAACGAGTGAGGGATGGCAAAATGTAACATGCCTGGAGTTATGCCACGAAGAAGCTGATACTCGTTTACTGTTGCATGCTAAGCATACCTCAGAAGAATATCAAGACCTGGTCCTTGTCACAGACGACACAGATGTGCTAGTTATCTGTCTTGCTCTCAGCACAAAGATCAACAGAAGAATCATTATCAGACGAGGTACAAAAGCTCGTTTGAGGCTTGTGGACATAACAAAACTTGCTGAAGCTTTAGGAAGTGAAGCTTGCACAGCATTTTTGGGGCAACATGCATCGACTGGGTGTGACTATCTGAGTGCATTGGCTGGTCACGGCAAGCTGAGGGCTCTAAAACTGCTTCTAAGAGATGAAACTTTCAGAAAGGCTTTTGGAGATCTTGGTACTGAGTGGCATCTTTCTCCTGAAGTGTTTAAGATCATTCATGCTATATTGCAACAACACAACGGTAAACAAGGCCAATGAGCTGCGTTACCAGATATTTCGAGGTAGAGGCGGGGATCTTGAATCTGGACAGCTCCCACCATGTAAAGATGCGCTTTTCCAGCATACCCTCCGTGCCAATTACCAGTCAGCGGTTTGGAAATAAATGAGACAGGAAATCTGGCAATCAAATGGATGACGGGCTTGCCAGCTCCAGAAGTGGTCCTCGGCCTGACGTCATGCTGATGTTTTCGTACTTGTCGACCAAGTGAGTGCACATGTATATTAAATGGTTTTAAATGTCCCTCTGCCTGCAAGTTGTCACCCTGCTCCAACATGGATGACAATGATGAAGAGATACATCAAGATGCAGAAGACTCAAGCGATGAAAATGACTGAATTTGACAGTTGGATGTGTATCACATAGCAGGTTTTGGGACGGAATAAGACATCCTCATTGTTGAAATTATTTATAGACATTTTCTTGAAACTGTTACAAGTACTGGCCATATTCATGCTAAATTGTGTTACAGTGTTAATGTCAACGACATGAAACTCTAGCAAACAGTCTCCTGTTTAATATGGTGAGTTCATATTACTAGATGCTGATTTTTAAGAAGTAGAAGATTTGTGAAGTAGAAGGACTGTGGTGGCTTTTGAATTATGAACAAGTTATATTTGTCGGCAAATGTTATTTTTTATTTGAAAATATAACGTTAAGTTGGTACCAGACATTGATCTATGTTTCTTATCCATTTAATTGCAGAAGGGTCAGGTGGGAATGAAAGTGGAATTTTGTTTATATGTATACTTTTGATGTTATTATTAAACACATATAAATATAATATCACAATGTGTACATTTTAACTTTAAACCCTTTAGATTCTTGGAAATTTAGCTAGGAAATATAAAAACAAATTTTGGTTGCAATATGTACGACTTTCTTCATTTTTTAATTATCTGTGAAAAAGTGCACTATATTGATAAATGGCTGCTTATGTTTATGTACTATCGTGTTTTAACTTCCAAATGGTATTTTATATATGAAATTACATTAGACAATTTATATCTATCATAAGGTGTGAATTATTACTCAACAACGTTGCATTGGAAAGAAAAGATGTCAGTAAAATGTTAAAAAAGGGTAATTTCCTTATATAATTTCAACATTAACTAAAAAATTATAACTCAATGATATACAAAAAGCATAACAGAATGTGTGCAATGTAGTGCTGAAACAATATCAGGAAATACAAGTTGTCTGAAATTAATAAATTCTGTGTTATAAGCTTATTTCTGAAATCTGTAGAAAAAGTGAAAAAATGGCCGCCATCTTGGAAAATGGCCACCAAAATCGTATTTAGCTGGGCATCTGAAATGTCCATCACATGAAATTATACAGGTGAGACATCAAGCTAGCTGAAAATCATATTGGTAATTTGTCCCTCTGTTTGGTAGTCAAATTTTCTCTGGCTCATGGACTAGGGACACCAGAAGTGGACTTCACACATTGTACCTATATGGGGAATCAAACCTTAGTCCTGGGTGTGCTGACCCGTAAAGATCCGGGGTAGAATAGGTCTCGTCCAGACTCGAGTATTTTTTGTTTTGTTTGTTTGGTGTTTAACGCCGCACTCAGCAATATTTCAGCTATATGACGGCGGTCTGTAAATAATCGAGTCTGTACAAGACAATCCAGTGATTGACATCATGAGCATCAATCTACGCAATTGGGATACGATGACATGCATCAACCAAGTCAGTGAGCCTGACCACCCAATCCTGTTAGTTGCCTTTTACGACAAGCATAGTCGCCTTTTACAGCAAGAATGGGTTGCTGAAGACCTATTCTACCCCAGATCTTCACGGGTCCTCTCGATTTATTACAGACCGCCCTCATATAGCTGGAATATTGCTGAGTGCGGCGTAAAACCAACTAACCAACCAACCTTGGGTGTGCTGAAAAAGTGCTTTAACCACTAGACTCTTCCATGGCCCCATTTAAAAGAGTTATCGGTAAAACTGATCCCCCTTGATGTTATTATTGAGGTCGTGTGTGAGGCGCCTGGATTATACCAGGGCCCCATTTAGAAGAGTTATCGGTTCAGACTGAGAAAACTGATGCCTCTTGGTATTATTATTGAGGTCGTGTGTGAGGCGCCTGGACTATTTCGGGGCCCCATTTAGAAGAGTTATCAGTTCAGACTGAGAAAACTGATGCCTCTTGGTATTATTATTGAGGTCGTGTTTGAGGCGCCGGGACACCTACCTTGTTGATGACCTGGGTGAGGTATTCGGAGGAGGGCGGGGCCTGGAACTTCTCCATACACAGAAGCGAGGAGACAGAGTTGGGGAGCAGGCGGTGGACAGCCGTCACAGACGTGGCAATTCCGAACACCAACACCAGAGGCAGCTCGTGAATGTAGTTGCTGAAACAAGGCATGACAAAGTGATGTTTTACACTGGGTTTATCGAGGCTTGCATCTGGAAGACATCCTCATTGTAGTTCATGTCCTGGTCATGTGTGTAACCTTTGAATCCTGAGACATTACTGATTTAAGTGACATTGCAGTTTATCAGTATTTCTTGGAAACCATCATAACAGTATTCGACATAATAAGCGCCCACGCTGCACTCAAAATTAGAAATAGGGGGCTCTCATTAGAATAGTATTTTGGTGAAAAACAGCAGAGTTGAAAGATCGTAAATTTCGTGGTTTATGCTGATAGCCTGATGTGTTTAAATACAACAGATATATTTTTCCAGAATTTAATTTTTCCCATTATTAAGGATGCATATAACTCACATTTTATACACGAATAAAAGAGTCTTGTGTACATTGATCAATCTGAATGGGTGCTAATTGGGATTGTTCACTAGCCAATATATTAGCAAAAATCTCTGTGGGCGCTTATTAGAGCGGAGTGCTTATCACGTTGAATACTGTATCTATGTAATAGTGAGTGAGTGAGTTTGATTTTACGCCGCTTTTAGCAATATTCCAGCAATATCACGGCAGGTATCTATGTAATAGATGTTAATGAGTGTAAATGTGTGAGATGGGTTTTACATCGCTTTGAATAGTACTCCAGTTCCAGTTACATTCAGATTAATAATGTGTCAAGAAAGCCCTAATTGATGCAGGTTTCAGACATGTACCACTTAGGTGAAACCTACGAGTATGGGTATGGTGATGACAAACCCAGAAACATAACGAGTGAGTGAGTATGGTTTTACGCCGCTTTAAGCAATATTCCAGCAATATCACGGCGGGGGGACACCAGAAATGGGCTTCACACATTGTACCCATGTCGGGAATCAAACCCGGGTCTTCGGCATGACGAGCGAACGCTTTAACCACTAGGCTACCCAACCGCCCGTGAAACTTAACGAGGGCGAAGTACAGGCATCCTAGAAATTATGATCAAATGAAATGAGAAAGAAATGAAGAAACAAAGCTTTGATTTCTAATGAGTCCAGGGTATTCATTAAAATAGATGTGACCGCCTCTGTGGTCTAGTGGTAGAGCGTCCGCCCGGAGAGCGGAAGGTCGGGGGTTTGATCTCCGACCGCATCATACCAAAAGACGTTAAAAGGTGGTACTTGTTGTTACCCTGTCTGGTGCTCGGCATTAAGGGGCTAAAACAAGGACTGATCGGCTCGGAGTCAGTATACTGTGTCTGAGTGGGGTATTCATGTTAAACTGCGGCATGGTATCTCAGTGAGCTAGCACTATAAATTGGCATCAGTCTGGACTAGTACAAGCAGCCACACAAACACACACACACGTACATGCACGTCGCTATATAAGTGCAATAATCTTGGACGCGACGTTAAACCCCATTTCACCTCACCTCATAATAGACATACACAGAATAAGGATGTTTAATAACAGCATCTGCCATCTTGTGATCAGTTGAAGACTGCTATGTCACACATGCAGTGTCTCCTGAGGCAAGTGACTTTGTTCAATATGTGCCCTTGTTCACTCAGCAGTGCATGGGTACCCGGTAGGAGATGATAATGTGACTGTTCACCTTCTCGTACCCCACAGCCTGTTCACTCAGCAGTGCATGGGTACCTGGTAGGAGATGATAATGTGACTGTTCACCTTCTCGCACCCCACAGCCCGAATTTGGTTGAATACTCCATAGGGAGCTGAGAATGAAAATCGAGAGCACACTGATCCAGTGAGCAGGGAAATAATTAAGTTTATCATGGTCTAAGCCGTTATGAATTGGAAAGTGTGCTATACAAAGTCATAGTTTATATACACAGAGGCTGGATATGATGGGAGGAGCACTGAACATGCACAGACTGCACACCTGCAGATACTGATGACATCTTGTAGCACAAGGGGCAGGAAACTCTCCATATCCTCCAAGACAACCACTAGAGGGGGCAGTGACATGGTTGTCTCTATAGCTCCACCCCCAGAACGCCGCTTCTTTGGAGAAGAACTAGATGACTGGAAGATAAAACAGTTACAAGTTTCCAAATATGCAAAATAGCCATGATCACAGCAGTCACATGTTACTGTTACCAAACACATCCAATGTAAAACTTCAATCATGTCGCCAAGAAAGAAATTAGTTCAGAAAAATATGGAGATGACAAACAGCCGACACTGAAAGGCAAAGGGAAGTAGCCACAAATTTCAACGACTAATAAAGAAAAAAATCATTAAATATTAAACCTGTTTAATTTGTAGACAGAACAGGCTCTTACAGGCTGATGCGACTAATTTTGGCTCACATCCAACAATGCTCTTTTAAAGTGACGAAAACTGGAGGGGTCTTCAATGAAAGTTCAACCGAAACAATGACAGCTTTAATAAGCTCCTCTCAGTATCGGTGATGCCATCATGTGCGTTGATATGGTTTAGCCAACAGGCTACCCCATCGCCCCAGGAGATCATGAGAAATCCAAGAGCTATACATGTATCCTTTACAAACTAAGTCAAGATCAATGCCGCTAGTCTACAACATGCAGATAGCCGTCTCCTAGCGCCCTGAATCATGTTGGTTGGTTGGTTGGTTTGTTGTTTAACGCCGCACTCAGCAATATTCCATCTATATGACGGTGGTCAGTAAATAATCCAGTCTGGACCAGACAATCCAGTGATTGATATCACAAGCATCGATCCACACAATTGGGATCAATGACATGCATCAAACCAAGTCAGTGAGCCTGACCACCCAATCCCGTTAGTTGCCTTTTACGACAAGCATAGTCGCCTTTTACTGCAAGCATGGATTACTGAGACCTATTGTACCCCGGAATCTTCACGGGGCCCTGAATCATGTAACAAGTACAGACTTCAAACTGTGATGAATAAACAGCAAACACATTGACAAGGGTACAAATAGAATAGGGGGCATTAAATACACTGACAGAAAGACTAAACAGGGTTTTTTTCTTTTGCCAACTCACTCTGAACTTGCTGTTATACCACTGGCACAGGGTGGACACAGTACACGCTGCCTGCTTCCGTCTCGGGGCGGCAGGATCATCATCATCATCATCTAGTATCTGAATACACAATACAGTAAACTACTACTAAAGGGACCACTAATTTTAGTTCGTTATAACCATAGTTTGCTATAAATCTAAAATACAGCGTATATACCGTAGACTACGGTAATAATGAACTCGAGGGGACCACTAATTTTAGTTGGTAATAACCGTAGTTCATATTAAGCATACATACAGCATTTTTACAAAAAATGGTCTCGACTAAAAATAAGTTTGTTGTATCCGTCAGTTCGTTATAAGCGTGTTCGTTATAAACGTAGTTGACTGTACAGCAAATGGCTCGGGATAAAAAAAAAATCTGTTTTTTAAATGTAGTTTACTGTATATATTCTGATCAAAGTGTCATTCACTTAGTGGTTCAAAAATATGAACATCTAGCAGTCTGTGTCAAAAAAGTATGAGTCTTTTGGCCCATACCTGTCACTTCACATTATTTTCAGTGGATCTAAGTGGACTGAAAGACATTTTACTAGACTTGGCTATTGGTCTAGTGTTTAAAGTCACAGACTGAAATGGTATAATCTATGCAAGGGTTGTACTGCATTTAAAAAGGTATTTCTGTGGATGTGGTACTGGAAATTAGGAATACCAGAAAGTATTGTGTGACACACAACCAGAGAAACTTGTGAAAAGGACAACATTCAACAGATCTTGACCACACAACCAGATATAACTGCAGCATTTGTATTTGGCACTTGTACTATACTCTTTGCTAAACTGCCCAATAGTTAAGGTATCATAAGGACTAGGGCTTTGCTATATGTTTTCAGTAATCAACATGATCACCTAGAGAGGGGTACCAGGTCAGAAACAAGTGTAACAGTACCAGGTCAGGGTTTGAGGTCAGCTGGGAGATCATCTTGGACAGGGTTGTCTTCAGGTTCGGGCAGTCCTTAGCACGGAGAGTTGCAACAAGGGAGCTAACTCTTTCCTTCAACAGCTGCACAAGGTTGGAGAACATAACTGCGTGGTCTGGAGTGTTGACACCTGCCAAGATCAAAACACACTCATCACAGTCCACACTCATCACAGTCCAGGCTCATCACAGTCCACACCCATCACAGTCCACGCTCATCACAGTCCACACTCATCACAGACCACACCCATCACAGTCCACGCTCATCACAGTCCACGCCCATCACAGTCCACGCTCATCACAGTCCACACCCATCACAGTCCACGCTCATCACAGTCCGAGCTCATCACAGTCCACGCTCATCACAGTCCACGCTCATCACAGTCCACACTCATCACAGTCCACGCTCATCACAGTCCACACTCATCACAGACCACACCCATCACAGTCCACGCTCATCACAGTCCACGCCAATCACAGTCCACGCTCATCACAGTCCACACTCATCACAGTCCACGCTCATCACAGTCCACACCCATCACAGTCCACGCTCATCACAGTCCACACCCATCACAGTCCACGCTCATCACAGTCCACACCCATCACAGTCCACGCTCATCACAGTCCACGCTCATCACAGTCCACGCTCATCACAGCCCACACCCATCACATTCCAAGCTCATCACAGTCCACACCCATGACAGTCCATGCTCATCACAGTCCACGCTCATCACAGTCCACACCCATCACAGTCCACGCTCATCACAGTCCACACTCATCACAGTCCATGCTCATCACAGTCCATGCTCATCACAGTCCACACCCATCACAGTCCATGCTCATCAAAGTCCACGCTCATCACAGTCCACGCTCATCACAGTCCATGCTCATCACAGACCACACCCATCACAGTCCACGCTCATCACAGTCCACATCCATGACAGTCCATGCTCATCACAGTCCCCACCCATCACAGTCCACGCTCATCACAGTCCACACCCATCACAGACCAAGCTCATCACAGTCCACGCTCATCACAGACCACACCCATCACAGTCCACGCTCATCACAGTCCACGCTCATCACAGTCCACGCTCATCACAGTCCACATCCATCACAGTCCATGCTCATCACAGTCCACACCCATCACAGGCCACACCCATCACAGTCCACGCCCATCACAGTCCACACTCATCACAGACCACACCCATCACAGTCCACGCTCATCACAGTCCATGCCCATCACAGTCCACACTTATCACAGTCCACACTCATCACAGTCCATATCCATCAAAGTCCACACCAATCACAGTCCACACCCATCACAGTCCCGTATCAACACAGACCACACCCATCACAGTGCACATCCATCACAGTCCACACGCATCACAGTCCACGCTCATCACAGTCCACACCCATCACAGTCCACGCTCATCAAAGTCCATGCTCATCACAGTCCACACCCATCACAGTCCAGTATCAACACAGTCCACACCCATCACAGTCCAGTATCAACACAGACCACACCCATCACAGTGCACACCCATCACAGTCCACACCCATCACAGTCCAGTATCAACACAGTGCACACCCATCACAGTCCACACCCATCACAGTCCCGTATCAACACAGACCACGACCATCACAGTGCATACCCATGACAGTCCACTCATCATAGTCCACACCCATCACAGTCCACACCAATCAAAGTCCACACCCATCACAGTCCACACCCATCACAGTCCACGCCCGTCACAGTCCATGCTCATACCAGTCCACGCCCATCACAGTCCACATCCATCACAGTCCACACTCATCACAGTCCACACCCATCACAGTCCACACTCATCACAGTCCACGCTCATCACAGTCCACTCCCATCACAGTCAACACTCATACAAGTCCACGCCCATCACAGTGCATACCAATCACAGTCCACACTCATACCAGTCCACACCCATCACAGTCCACACCCATCACAGTCCACACTCATACCAGTCCACACTCATACCAGTCCACACCCATCACAGTCCACACTCATACCAGTCCACGCCCACCACAGTCCACACTCATACCAGTCCACACCCATCACAGTCCACACCCATCACAGTCCACACTCATACCAGTCCACGCTCATACCAGTCCACACCCATCACAGTCCACACTCATACCAGTCCACGCCCACCACAGTCCACACTCATACCAGTCCACACTCATCACAGTCCATACCAATCACAGTCCACACTCATACCAGTCCACACCCATCACAGTCCACACTCATACCAGTCCACACCCATCACAGTCTACACTCATCACAGAAACTAGCACAGTGTCAACTACAAGTGAACAATCCCTCATTTAAAAAATCACTGAGCATTCTCATAGAGATAGATCATTCACACAGCTGATGTGATACAGGTGCAGTATTGCTGATTGAGTTGTTCAACAACCCCTCTCTCATTTCAGTTTTGAGCTGGTCAAAATAAGAAACAGTTACTTTGCTAAAATATCTTTTCAAGGTTATATCTGAAGAGTATTTTCAGACGGTGTAATTTGTTTATTAATTATTTGATATTACAGAGCTGTTTGACTAGGGAATTATTTTGTTGTAACCCAAACTGTTTCTCAGTAACTGGTCATAATGAATCCTAAACAAATAGCACGGCCTCATATACAGTGTGAGTGCTTTTCACCTGTGATTAGAGCTGCTGTTGGAATCTCCTGAATAGCCTTGCGGAGTTGTCCCCCTTCCTCTTCATCATTACTGCGTGGGCTATGGCTGGAAGCTGCAAAGGCCAACAGCTCCTCAAAGATCTGACTATTGAGGTCTGACTGCATGATCTTCAAAGAGGAACACAAACTGTTACAGGTATCCTTCAAACATTTTACACAAAAGGAGATGACTATCTTGTGAATGAAAAACGTCAATCATTAATAAGTTCTGTAAAGTAAACAGGACCCATTATCACATTATCAGAAATCAAAGCACTTGACCGCCATTACTACTCCACTTTAACATAGATCAGGGATTTAATCAGACCTCTTCAGGCCGATATTCAACCCAAAGTCCAAAAAATTCCCAAATTAGAATACACAATTACCATTACGTTATAACAGATGACTTGTATTTTATTGCACTGATAAAAGGGCCAATATAAGGAAGAGCTATAAATGTATTGAATGCAAAAATGTTCAAATAACTCAATAATAAAATCTCTCTTAAAGATTTTGTACAAAATATTGGGTTTTTTCCCAATTTACATGATTTACCTGCAAAGGCCACTTTAACAGTCTGGTATCACAGAATATTCCCTGTAAACTTAGGACACATTTTAACTTTTAAATTGACAGTCCCAGAAGTCCAAGGTAAGAAAAACACAATCGGCACAATCCTAAAAAAGTAGTGATTCATCTACACCACAAAATACAGCTACAATGCAGCAGCTGGTTGAGTATTAAAACCAGAGCTTGATGGTGGCAGCAACGGTTTGGCTTTAGGTACACAGGATTCATAGCTCAAATTTTGTCTTCCTGGTATACCCAGAAAACCACCTGAAGCTTATATCTGGGGTTATAAATGAAGCGCACCTTTATATCGGTGTCCACTATCTCCCACAGGGACTGGTATGCTTCCAGTCGGGCCTCACATCCCACATCCTTCTTGGTGAAATAGGCAGCTGGAACAGGATGGGGACACAGTCAGGAACTGCTCAGGTGAGGTGAAATGGGGTGACCAAGCATCATCTTTTAACGTCTTTAGGTATGACGCAGCCAGAGATCAAACAACCAACCTTCCACTTTCCAGACAGACTTTCTATCCACTAGACCTTTGGAGGCAGTGAGCTAATCAGATGCATGCAGCAGGGTTAGAAACTAACAGGTTTTGTCCACTAGTCCTTATAATGATAACATATAGCAAAACCCTTAAAATGGGCCAATTTCTACTAGTCCTTATGATACCTTTACTTTTTGGCAGTTTGGTGAGGACTACAGGACTAGTGCCAATTTCTAACGCTGTGCAGCCATCATCACATGTTATGAACATCAAAAAAGAGCTGTGGTGTCATCGTCATTAAATATCTTATTGTGAAATTCATATTTTATTATATATCATTCTTAAATTATCTTAATGCATTCAACAACCTTAAGCCCTGGTCAGAAAAAAATAGATATCAAACCGGACCTGTAAGGTAGCTCTTTACAGGTTGGTGTCATTTGTTGTTTAACAAAACAATACGATCATGGTGAGGTGAAATTGGGTTTAATATCGTGTCCAAGATTATTGCACTTATATAGCGACGTGCATGTATGTGTGTAAGTTTGTGTGGCTGCTTGTACTAGTCCGGACTGATGCCGATTTATAGTGCCAGCTCACTGAGATACCATGCCGCAGTTTAACATGAATACCCCACTCAGACACAGTATACTGACTCCTTGCCGACCAGTCCTTGTTTTAGCCCCTTAATGCTGAGCGCCAGACAGGGTAACAACAAGTACTATCTTTTAACATCTTTTGGATCAAACCCCGGACCTTCCGCTCTCCGGGCGGACCCTCTACCACTAGACCACGGAGGCGGTCCAATACAATGATGATGGTGGCCCATAAATAGTCATGCCTGGGCCCGAAAAAACAGTGACTGATATTATGAGTCCCGGCCTACTGTAAAGGTACTCATCAAGGTATCTGTTCAGTCGTCTCTTACACGTTAGAAGACCCATGAAGATTGCGGGTGGAATAGGTCTTCAACAACCCATGCTTGCCGTAAAAGGTGACTCTGCTTGGTGTAAAAGGCGACTAACGGGATCGGGTGGTCAGGCTCGCTGACTTGGTTGATGCATGTGATCGATCCCAATTGCGCAGATCGATGCTCATGATATTAATCACTGGATTGTCTGGTCCAGATCAAATTATTTACAGACCGCCATCATATAGCTGGAATATTGCTGAGTGCGGCGTTAAACAACAAACCAACCAACCAATATGTTAGAAGCATATGTTCCTGCAGAACTACTCAAACCAAATAGCAAACTCATGTAGACCTTCAGGACAGTTGAGACTAAAAGAGGTTGACATGGAAAATACTACCAAAGTATTAGCATTTCATCAAACAGTATTAAATTGTCAATAGCAATAAATTCTACAAAAAACAAGGGTAAAGTAAAGCTTTTGTTTACCACCAAACATCTGAAGGAGTGATATAGATTTAGTTTATGAACTACCTGGATTTGCCACCTTCTTCTTTCCTTTGTAAGCAAAGCATCCCTGAAACATGTGAATATACAATGCATTAGAGTGAGTGAGTGAGTGAGTATGGTTTAACGCCGCTTTTAGCAATATTCCAGCAATATCACGTCAGGAGACACCAGAAATGGGCTTCACACATTGTACCCATGTCGGGAATCAAACCCGGGTCTTCAGCGCGACGAGCGACCGCTTTGACCACTAGGCTACCCGACCGCCCACAATGCATTAGAATTGGATGAGAAAAGAATTCTTAGTACATGTATATTCTAGGGCTTGATAGATTTTGTTGTGTACACAATACGTCCAAGTTCATGCTAACAGTATGACAAACAGGCTGTGTAACCTTCTGTGTGTATGGCAATATAATGATATTTACCTATATTTCTGTGTCAGTTATAAACATTTAGTTGCCTAACTTTTCTTTTTTTGAAATGTCACTTTATCCATGTTCATGTACATGATGATGTAAGTATATAAATTAAGTACATTATAGTCCTATTCAAGAAATATTCATCAAATGCTATTTTAAACGGCATATGCTTGTATTCATGTCAGTTAGTGGATACACCCTAACTGAGGCCACTGAGCAGCTGCCTACAACATCTACAATACCTTGTATAAGTTTCATCTACATCATCTTCCCGAGGCAAGCGTTTCCTCTAGCCTATATTAAAGCCTAGTTTCTACACTTGCCACTTTCCTTGGCCTGACCCTGGCGCCACCTCGCGAAGATCACGATTTGACACCCTTGTAATGAAAACGTGATGTCCAATCAGATCGCTGTTCTTATCTCACATAGCTTCACAAAGATGGCGACTACCATAGGCGGCGACCAAGTTAATCAGACAATGAAAACATGTGTGATTTCATCCCTGACACAAAAACGTAGGCAATCGTTGGGGCCTTTAAAAGATGAAGAAGACATATTGTGGTAAATCACTTTGATACGAAGGTGTACCAGTCGTAGATGTTGATTTTGTAGTGCCAACAACATTTGCAATGACATGCAAATATTACCAATTAGGAACATAACTGTTACCATGGTTACATATGTGAATCCATAATTATCCATTAATTTAGACCATTCTTCCTTTTCTGTTAAAACAGGGACCGCTTACCTTGTGTGATTACAATTTAAGACACCAACCCAACACCACCCAACCCCATTGACCCCCAGGCCAACCTGGAAATAATAACTGGTTTCCAAAAGAAATATTCAGATCATTCCAAATGTGGATCTGCAGTGGCAAACGTTGCTTCTCGTGTTCTGGCACATTGAAAGAAAATAAACGACCCCATGTCTGCCACATTTTTTACAAGACGTGGTATCGAATATTTTGAAAAAAATGGAATGCATCAAGAAAGTATTTTCAAACTTGTTTGCTCTGTATTAATTTGAATTGGGGAGTATTAAAATTGATAAAGTTTGTTTTGTGTTTAATTTTTTAGTTGGGGAAACGACGCCAGCACTAAAGGCAGGCTCTGCACAGCTGCGGCTGTTTTGGGGCAGGGTCTGTCTATTACGTCAGCATCAAAACTAATTAATGTACCTGCCATCAGACTGCCATCTGGTATGTGCAACATGCGCAATGACAGCATCTGCACACAAAGTTTGACGCAACCGACAGCTTTACAGTGGAAACTGTTCCATAGCCAAATTAGTCAAACCAACATCCCGATAGGTTGAAATTGTATATATTAGATCTGTGTCATTGACTTGTTAATAAATTGTATGTATATCATGTATATATGTTATGAAAGAGGCGCTTGAGTTTATTCTTATATTCATGAATGTGTGAACGTGCAACACTTCATATATGAGGTGGGCGTGGCCAAATACAAATGTCCGATTGGCAAAAAAATATTTCCGGATCCTGGCCATGACATAGCATCTGCACACAAAGCTTGGTAGGTGATACCTGCGACTGGTATGCGCCATGACACCATCTGCATACAAAGCTTGGTTGGTGAGACAGGTGACTGGTATGCGCCATGACAGCATCTGCATACAAAGCTTGGTAGGTGAGACAGGCGACTGGTATGCGCCGTGACACCATCTGCATACAAAGCTTGGTAGGTGATACCTGCGACTGAAATGCGCCAGGACAGCATCTGCATACAAAGTTTGGTTGGTGAGACAGGCGACTGGTATGCGCCGTGACACCATCTGCATACAAAGCTTGGTAGGTGATACCTGCGACTGAAATGCGCCAGGACAGCATCTGCATACAAAGTTTGGTTGGTGAGACAGGCAACTGGTATGCGCCATGACACCATCTGCATACAAAGCTTGGTAGGTGATACCTGCGACTGGAATGCGCCATGACAGCATCTGCATACAAACTTTGGTAGGTGAGACAGGCGACTGGTATGCGCCGTGACACCATCTGCATACAAAGCTTGGTAGGTGATACCTGCGACTGGAATGCGCCATGACAGCATCTGCATACAAACTTTGGTAGGTGAGACAGGCGACTAGTATGTGCCATGACAACATCTGCATACAAAGCTTGGTAGGTGATACCTGCGACTGGAATGCGCCAGGACAGCATCTGCTTACAAAGTTTGATAGGTGAAACCAGCGACCAAAAGTGTATGATATTCTGAGAACTGATTCTAGTGCCACGCAGAGGATCGAACAGGCGTTGCCAGCTTGAAGCTTAGGGTAAGACTTCCGCCAGTTTGTTTTGTTTGTTTGTTGTTTAGATTCCCCACACTCAGCAATATTCCAGCTATATGATGGCGGTCTGTAAATAATCGAGTCTGGACAAGACAATCCAGTGATTGATATCATGAGCATCGATCCACACAATTGGGATACGATGACATGCGTCAACCAAGTCAGGGAGCCTGACCACCCGATCCCGTTAGTCGCCTATTACGCCAGTATCCCCTCTCAAAAAGATTTAAAATTAAAAGAATTGAGCAGTATATGGAGGGGGGATATGGGTGGAAATTTTTCCACTTGATCAATTGATACTGTACGTATTTTACTAAAAGTGGATAGATAACCCATACCCTAACTCACAACTAACCCCGAGGATCGTAAGGTGTGTTTGATAGGGAAGAGGTGCCCATCCCTAAACCCAGGCTGATAAGCCGTAATTGTGATGCAGTAACCCACCGTGTACACATGCAGGGTTGAAAAATAACCTATTATTACCTTTGAGACGGATTCAGCAGTATCCATAGCTTCCTCCTGTTCACGCCGAATTTCTCAATTTTCCCGCACCGGAAATTCGAAGAAAATATTTCTTCTGCAGAAGAGCTTCGAACGATATTGACTTGGCTCCCGTCTACGTAGGTTACATGCGTTTAGTATGCTGTCCTCGACCCAACAGTGAACCAGTTTACGAACGATAAATTGTTGCCTCCCTTTTTAGAGTTAACCGGGAAAGATATTTTACGTCCGCTTTAGTGATTATTGAATGAATAATAATTTTTAAACTATTCAATATTTCTTCATGAACATTTGTATACACACCGGTAAAAGTGTCCTTTGCTATTCGGGATTCAAATTTAAGCTTTTGCATATCGGAGACAACAAGTCTGACTCATTTGGAAATAAGTGAGTTTGGTTTACGCCGCTTTTAGTAATATTACTGCAATATCACGGCGGGGGACCCCAGAAATGGGCTTCACACATTGTACCCATGTTGGGAATCGAACCCAGGTCTTCATTTTGGAATGAAGGCTAGGCTCACTTCAGGGGCATAAGTCAAAAGCTGTGTATGCACATTAGGCAGGTATTGAATTCGTGCTTTTTGCTGCGTGAGTTTTTATTGTTTGCGTTTCTTAGACAACACGACGCACTTGTGTTCAGGTGAGAGCAGGGTTCTTTTCCGGAGTTTAACTCATGATCTTTTCAACATCAATTATGAAACATTGCATACAAATCAGAAAAGTGTTGAACTGAAGCACTTTGTTATTCATGAAATATTTGATTTTGAATTTTGCGTGTCCGAGGCAACAATTTAGACTTCGGTTCAACTTAGGGTTCGTTTCCGACGCACTGTTAATACCCTGTAAAAGATTTAATATATTTCACACAACTTCGTACATATAAGGCGACTGCTGAGCTGATTTCACACTGTGAGAACTGGGCTTATGTTTAAAAGCGAGTAGGTTTTGTTTCAAGAGTACATCTTCCTCAGGCAAGGGCGTTAAAGTGACTGGGCTTGTGTTTAAAAGCGAGTAGATTTGTTTCAAGAGTACATCTTCCTCAGGCAAGGGCGTTAAAGTGACTGGGCTTGTGTTTAAAAGCGAGTAGGTTTGTTTCAAGGGTACATCTTGACTATAAAACTGGACTTTGCCTTGTGAAGATGCAAGAGTATAACGCTGAACAAGATTCTGTATTGCTTTTCGGGGATTTGCACAATTATCAGCATTCAGCATATTGCGTATACATTGTAAGGTAGCTGTTACTGTTTGGGTAATTTTCTGGATGTTCAACGTAGCCTTTCTTTAGGACCAATCAGACCCAAAGACAAATCAATTCAATCAGCTTGATGACACACCTGTACATAAATACATTAGCGCGGGGGTTAAAGATTAAGTTGTCCTCTTGTTTGCTGTTCATTGGACACAGAACTCACATCGTTTAACAAACCGTAGCTTTATACAGCTTAGTTTGTAACCTTGTTGACATCTACTGACCACAAATACATATCTCATTTTATACCGGCCTCCACAAGCGTCCTCAGTACAAAGTAAAGAATATCATTGATCATCTTTCCATACCCATCCCCACTTCCCAAACATTTCCCCCTAAACATACCCAGATAGTGCTTTCAAAACCCGAAACAGTCAAACAAACAACAGTGATAGAGGAACTAATTTGTTCTCTGCTCGCGTTGTGTTCACCTATTCACATCACTTCCCCTTCCCACAGACTCACACGGCTCTTATACGAAGGTCAAGTACAGTAAACTACGGTTATAACGAACTCGAGGGGACCACTAATTTTAGTTCGTAATAACCGTAGTTCGTTATAAGCATACATACAGCATATATACAACAAATGGTCGGGACTAAAAATAAGTTCGCTATATCCGTCAGTTCTTTATAAGCGTGTTCGTTATAAACGTAGTTTACTGTATTATTAATTAACCTACTAGAGAAAACATTTGAGTCCAGAATGAAGTCACTGTTCTGATTTTTGTCCCATGTTCCACACCTCATAGTTATGTTGATGCCTATTTGCGGGTAGAGTTGAGGCCCTGAATCGCCGTTTTCCTCGCATCACGTCATCAAAACAACAGGTCGACTTCAGTGAAGCTTATTTAGTGTTGGTATTTTATATGATATCTTCCATTTATTTCACAAAATGACACTGAATAATAATGTACAAAGAATATCCTATTAGAAATTACGGATTATATGCCCCTTGTGAACGATGTCATTCACATACCCATGCATTCCGACAATCGGTAATTCCTTAATTTGAGCTCATTAGTTAATCTCCAATGTAACCGATAGGAAGACATAGTGAGCGAGTTGGTAACACGCCGCTTTCAACAGTATTCCAGTTATATCAAGGCGTGTCAGCTTAATGTGGGAGGAAAGCCGGGTTATGCAGTTCTCAGAGGGGCGGTCGGGTAGCCTAGTGGTAAAAGCGTTAGCTCGTCACGCCGAAGACCCGGGTTCGATTCCCGACATGGGTACAATGTGTGAAGCCCATTTCTGGAAATTGCTGGAATATTGCCAAAAGCGGCGTAAAACCTCACTCACTTACTCAGTTCTCAGACGTTTACCACTTTGGCGAAACCCACGAGCATGGGTTTGGTGCTGACAGTCGGAAACACTATGAAACATAATCGGGGCGAACCGGGATTCGAATCCACAATCATAGGTTTCTGGCGTGCCCAAGGGACGTAACTCTACACCGCGAATTGCGGCGCCTCAGACGACAGGGCCACCGGTGTTCCGGATTTTGAACATTGCTTCAGTTATATCGCTCAGTTTGGGAGGGAAGAGTCTGGCGGTGTAGGTTGGGGACGTTTATCACTTTAGGAGCAACATTGAATACTGGCGTGAATTTTGTAGACCAATGGACTTTGAACGCCGACAAAACTCGAACCAACGACCATCGCATTCTGACAACTAAGGGACCCAACTCGGCACATAAACATGATGTGTTGTACGTTTAATGCCGTAATGTAATAACAATATTCTAGCAACGTAACAGGGGCCTGAAAATAATCGAGTCTAGACCTGAAAAAACAGTGACTGATATTATGAGCACCGACCAATTCGTCGGGGTACGATTACATATGTCCAATCAAGTCACCGGGTCTGACCACCCGATCCCCAAAATGACTTTAACGCCATCTTACCCCACTTTACCGCTTCCCCTCCCTTTAACGCGGTGCGATAAGCATAGATTGCAGGGTGCCTTTCTAAGCCGGAATCCCACAGACAATCCAGTGATTGACATCATGAGCATCGATCCACGCAATTGGGATACGATGACATGCGATAACCAAGTCAGCGAGCCTGACCACCTGATACTGTCAGTAGCCTCTTATGACAAGCATAGTCGCCTTTTAGCGTTTTCTTGTCCTCGGTGCACAAACAATTCTTAAAACGAATTCGACTAAAAATGCCTCGCCCACATCACCTTATCTAAAGAAATCCAAATTGTGAAAGTTGAAAGCTTGTGGGTTCCCACTGAGAATCGTTCAAAATACAGATGTAATTTCCTTTTATTTAAATTTACTGTTCCGGCGATGCTCCAGTTTTGTTATCCCTGAAGTGTTCCCCGGGATCCCTGAACAGCCTCGACGGCAGCACTTACCTCATCGTTAGATATAGTACAGTATTCTCCATTGATAGTCTGAAGTCGTTGCTGATGGTCAATCATGATTTTCATATAGTTTTTACCGATATTTTGCCTTTTAAACACAATGGAATCCGTTTTGGCGAATAATCGAGACGGATTATTTCCTGGCTTTGACGTTTTATTTTTATTTGAAAACCGAAGTCCCAGCTATGTCCCAAATGATGCCTCCAGCTTCATTGGTTGGAGTCATGCCAAATGTTTCCACTTCTTGCTCTGAACTTTGAACTCTGTCAAAGCTGACCTCGATCTCATCCTGGGTTACAATTCGCAACACAACTGTACCAGGATTCTGGTGACAACTGGTCAGAACATGCCTGGATATGTTGTCGGGTCAGTATCTGATCTGGTGTCAACATTCTGGGTACTCATCTTGTGATCAAGTTGCCCATATGAAGTGTCTCACTTAAGATGGTATGTACTGAACCAAATAGTGTCTAAGATATGCTGAATTATATAATTGAACACATGGGTCAGTTATAACCATGCGGTGGGAAGTCTCCACGACCAGATCAAAGGCCTTGTTTGTGCTTCTTCTGCCTGAAGTCTTTGAAAGGCATTTAGAAGTGATACACACAAGGAAGAGAATAAAGCATGTCCACATCCATAAATTCTCTTCCTTACTTCTGCCTTGCTTTAATTCAGCAGCCCAGTTTTCAACATTTGAATATGAAGGGCCGGGATCCAAAACTGCTTTTAAGATCTTCGTGTATGTGTATTTCCATTTTAGGTACCTTATCACAGAGCTTTTCTCAGTTTTCTCCATTTTTTGCACTTTCTCTTGTGCATCGAATTTACCAGTTGACTGCTCAAAAACATCTGCAGTCATTATTCTTCATATGTGTGAAGAAACCTCACATTACACAAAGCAGGGTGTATGAGGTCATGAACTTTTCGACTTACCCTCATACCTCAGCCAACTCAAATTGATCATCTGTTTCTTTAATCCAATATGGTTGGCAGGATGGAAGGCGAGATGGTTGGACAAACAATACCACTTAAAGATGGAAGAAAATAACGCAAGTAGCTTCTTTAAAGTTCTTTTATTTTTGGGAAACAAACTGGGAAGAGACACTTTCATCAAACTAAATTGTGTAACAGGTTCTGTTGAATACCGCAACTCTAAAGCCTGCTGGACTGCTCGGTACAAGATTTCTCCAATAGATGGGCAGCTTCTACAAAGGAACTGACCTCTCAGCCAGGTTCAACGGGACATCAGCGCACTGTACCACAAGCACTGACCACCAGACATCAGAGCACTGTATTACAGACACTGCCCACTAGACATGAGTGTACTGCACTAGAGACACTGCCCACAGACAGCAGAGTGTTGTACCACAGACACTGCCCACAGACAGCAGGGTGTTGTACCACAGACACTGCCCACACACAGCAGTGTGTTGTACCACAGACTGGTATCTTTGATTTATGTACACAAACATGTTCAAAATCAAAGCTTTCATTCCAGTATGTACATATCCATGACGAAAAAAAGGTTTGTGCAAAATAATCAAGCAACAAGTTTTCAAAGATATCTTCACATCCTAAAAACCCAAGGTGCAGTATTAGCCAAAAACAATAACACAAAATACTGTTATCAACAACTGTCTGTTAAGGAAGAGGTCTTCATGATACTCGACAAATCTCCAATATCCCTGTCTGTACACTACAGTACACTATCAATGAAAACAATGGATCATGATCCGTGTAAATTTTTAAAAGTATTGGAAAATTCAGTGAAATGCATAAGGTCCCAAGCAATACAACAAAGGAACAGATGTAGTCTATCCACAAATGTGAAGCTTTGATGGTCTTTGAGTACATCACACTGAAAACATCCTGGTTGTTCTTCAGGTTCCTCTTTACACCAGAACCTGCTGGGAATCGGACATAATGCGAGGCTCTTTTAATGTGTGACAATGTGCGACTCTCATCTTGCCTGCATTCAGGCATAGTGAAGTGCTTATCTTGTCTTACTGAGGTCAATGAGAAGCTCTCATTGTATGATATAGGCTGTACAGTATTTATCTTGTATTCTGACAGTCGAGGCCGCATAAACTATTTGAGGCTTCATCATGTGAGATGAGTGAGGTTGTTGACATGGGTTGATCGTAACTAGGGAAACATCGACTTCTCTTGCAGCTCCTTCAGTGCCTTTGATTGCAGCTGTGTCAGTCCTGAAAAGATACCCATGAAATCAGTATTTAACAGCTGTTAACAAACAGCGACCCAAGATTCTGACGATCATAGCCATTACAATACATTATACTTTTATTTCCGTTTTGACAAATTTAGATATGCAATATATGCACTCCTAAGAATATTCACATTGTCATTCATGTAGGATTTATGGACATCATTCAGACATTCATCATATTCGACTTAAGGTCACTCAGTCATTCTTCACATTCTACTGGAGGTCATCCAGACATTCATCACATTCTACTGGAGGTCATCCTGACATTCATCACATTCTACTGAAGGTCATTCAGACATTCATCACATTCTACTGGAGGTCATCCAGACAATCATCACATTCTACTGGAGGTCATCAAGACATACATCACATTCTACTGGAGGTCATCCAGACATACATCACATTCTACTGGAGGTCATCCAGACATACATCACATTCTACTGGAGGTCATCCAGACATACATCACATTCTACTAGAGGTCATCCAGACATACATCACATTCTACTAGAGGTCATCCAGACATTCATCACATTCTACTGGAGGTCATCCAGACATACATCACATTCTACTGGAGGTCATCCAGACATTCATCACATTCTACTAGAGGTCATCCAGACATTCATCACATTCTACTGGAGGTCATCCAGACATACAACACATTCTACTGGAGGTCATCCAGACATACATCACATTCTACTGGAGGTCATCCAGACATACAACACATTCTTCTGGAGGTCATCCAGACATTCATCACATTCTACTGGAGGTCATCCAGACATACATCACATTCTACTGGAGGTCATCCAGACATTCATCACATTCTACTAGAGGTCATCCAGACATACAACACATTCTACTGGAGGTCATCCAGACATACATCACATTCTACTGGAGGTCATCCAGACATACATCACATTCTACTGGAGGTCATCCAGACATACAACACATTCTACTGGAGGTCATCCAGACATTCATCACATTCTACTGGAGGTCATCCAGACATACATCACATTCTACTAGAGGTCATCCAGACATACATCACATTCTACTGGAGGTCATCCAGACATACATCACATTCTACATACATAACATTCTACTTGAGGTCATCCAGACATACATCACATTCTACTGGAGGTCATCCAGACATACATCACATTCTACATACATCACATTCTACTGGAGGTCATCCAGACATACAACACATTCTACTGGAGGTCATCCAGACATACATCACATTCTACTGGAGGTCATCCAGACATACATCACATTCTACTAGAGGTCATCCAGACATTCATCACATTCTACTGGAGGTCATCCAGACATACATCACATTCTACTGGAGGTCATCCAGACATACAACACATTCTACTGGAGGTCATCCAGACATACATCACATTCTACTGGAGGTCATCCAGACATACATCACATTCTACTGGAGGTCATCCAGACATACAACACATTCTACTGGAGGTCATCCAGACATACATCACATTCTACTGGAGGTCATCCAGACATACATCACATTCTACATACATCACATTCTACTGGAGGTCATCCAGACATACATCACATTCTACTGGAGGTCATCCAGACATACATCACATTCTACATACATCACATTCTACTGGAGGTCATCCAGACATACATCACATTCTACTAGAGGTCATCCAGACATACATCACATTCTACTTAAGGTCATCCAGACATACATCACATTCTTCTGGAGGTCATCCAGACATACATCACATTCTACTGGAGGTCATCCAGACATACATCACATTCTACTGGAGGTCATCCAGACATACATCACATTCTACTAGAGGTCATCCAGACATACATCACATTCTCTTGGAGGTCATCCAGACATACATCACATTCTACTGGAGGTCATCCAGACATACATCACATTCTACTTAAGGTCATCCAGACATACATCACATTCTTCTGGAGGTCATCCAGACATACATCACATTCTACTGGAGGTCATCCAGACATACATCACATTCTACTGGAGGTCATCCAGACATACATCACATTCTACTAGAGGTCATCCAGACATACATCACATTCTCTTGGAGGTCATCCAGACATACATCACATTCTACTGGAGGTCATCCAGACATACATCACATTCTACTAGAGGTCAGTTCCCACTCTAGTTATCAGTAACATGCAACTTGGGTGAATGTGTGGGTGACTTTCAGTTCACCATGTTTACACATACCAAATACATTGACTAGTACTAGAAAGATCACAGACGTTTGTGTTTTGTTTTCAGTGTACAAAATATCAGTTCACTGACCTTGACAAGTGATTGTATCCAATTGCTTGCTAAAGTAGTCACACATTATGCTGTAGACACTGTGTTTTGTAGAGTTACATCAGGATGCTTGTTCATTGCCCTGGAAAAATCTTTTTGACTAGGTCCTTTTTCTTAGAATATGCAATACTGTCAGTTACATCTGATCACAACTGCCAGTGACATTTAGATCTGCTGTCTTCAGCATTATGGTGACATCCTGTGGTGTCTGTAGAGCGCCTGAAGCCTACTGCATCAACTACACAAATTAGCTCGACAACATCCCGTCGGCCCGACATATTCGAGGCCAGTGCCGACATCTCTAAATAGCCATTTCCATGGTGGTATGATTCTTTATTCCCATCAACCTGTGTCTGTGGCAAAAAGAAGTCTTCAACATTTCCACATGACCTTGGTAACAATTGTTCCTTTTTCATGTTTCTTCCTCCTGTAACAATGCCATGTAAATGGTATCACCACGTTCTTGTTCCGTCCAGCAAAGGAGAAGACAGGTTGAGCCTCTTCCCCTTCCTCCAAGAAGATTGAACTGAGCTAGGAGACTTTACTAAACACCGGACTTAAAAATTGATGCACAAGATGTAACAGTTCATGTAAATACTAGTATATAACTTTGTAACATTCAATATTTGCATCAAGTTGTTTGGATTCTTGCAGAGATGGCAAGACAGTTGTCTCCCTTTGAACACATGGCTCTGATTAGATCACTGGAAAGATAACCTGATGTTCCAAGGAAATAAAACTCCATTTTTTAAGCACTCATTAATAGCAATATGTTTACTCGCCCATAGAATACCTTGAAAATGAGGCTCTGGCTTTCTCTTTCTAATTCTGTCCCTGTTCTGAATCCGACCTGAAGGTAACCATTCAGCGTTGAATGGGAGTTTACCTGATTTAATCTGTGTGAGATCAACATCACACTTGAGTATCACGGCTATTGAGCAATTACAGTGTGGCAGCATTGTGTTTCACAAGATGACAGACTATGAGTACAGGGGCTAAAACAATAACAGCTCATGCACCCTCCAGCATGCCTACAGAACAAAATAAGGGTTAGGGCTGTACTGATCCATCTAAAGTCTTGGTGTAGGAAGATACTTTGTACCATTATACAAGTATTGTATCCTGTGGTCATGTCTCAATACAATAGCAACAAGCATGACATACTCATATCCCCTGCCAATATGACATGTCCAGTTGTGTGCAAGGCAAGAAATATTGTACGGTTTTCAAGATCTGGTCCGGAAACGAGCACTATCGCCATTTTCAGTCTAAATGAAAGTCATTGCCATGGAAAATCCCAAACTATCAAAAGGCATATATATACGACTCAACTTTTTATAGGGATACTGATATTTTATACAGCGATTCTGTTTAATCAACAGGAAATGAAGCTGCATTTCTTCAGTTCCAGTGCAAATTCAAATGCTATTCGTGTGACAACATATCCAAGCAGTCAGGCATATTCTGACCCAACCTGGATACTGCCTATCCCTACCAAAAGTTGAGTACTGTATATATATATAAATATACCCGGTATGTACCGTATTTGATGTAATAAGTGCCCTGGGCGCTCTCAAAATTAGAACTAGGGGGCTCTTATAAGAATATTATTTTGGTGAAAAAGAGAATTGAAAGATAAATTTTGTGGTTTATGCCGACTGCCTGAAATGTTTATGTACGACAGATATATATTTCCAGAATTTAATTGCCCATAATTAAGGGTGCATATTACACACGAATGCGTATTATACGCAAAAAAATAGGTCTTGTGTACATTGATCAATCTGAAGGGGTGCAAGTTGGGATTGTTCACTAGCCAATATATTAGCAAATATCGCCGTGGGCGCTTATTAGAGCGGGGCGCTTACTACGTGGAATACGGTATATGAATTATTAACATTTTCCATTTCTGATGTGTCTGTTTCAATTTCTGACTTGTCTGTATGTAAAACTCTTGCAAGCCATTTCTAGTTTACTAAAAATGTTTTGCTCATTCTCCTTGGTGAAAAAAAATGTTGTATTCCTTGGTGAAGTAATGTCGTTCCCAACCGTGTCAAGTGTTGTTTTCATGTATCCTATCACGAATCACTTCTATTGTAATACAGTGAAACGTTATGTACCCCATCCTTGCGAGCGTCGAAATTATGTTTGAATACCTGTAGATCCCGAAAACTGGATACTGATATGGCACCTATTGGGATTCTTCTGGGATAACAAGGTACAGCTCCTAAACAGTACATCAAGTTAATGTGTTAAAGTTAAGTATCCTTCCACGACCAAGTGTATAGATACAGCCCTGGTATGAGTAGTGTTGCTCTCAACATAGCATGCTTTAGAACACATTTTAATAACTACATATTGCCAGCATCCACAGTGACCTGGAAGGTGACGCTACTTCTGAGGAGAGTATGTATTAAACAAACTTAAAAGTCATCAGTAATAAAATACTAAAATTATCAACATCAATACATATTCAATTATTTTGTATCAGTTTTTTGTTCTACATTTCTCATACTATTTCTCAAGCTTGAACATACTTGTACCGATGAGAGTTAGTTTCATGCTACTTTAAGCAATATTACAATATCATAGCAGGGGCCCAAGAAATAGGTTTCACACATTGTCCACATGCAGAATCAAACCCAGGCCTTTGGTGTGACAGGAGAGCACTTTAACCTGTACACTATCCCCAGAGCTGCAGATAAGCAGTGTATTTGTGTAAAATACCCCAAAAAAATATTCAAAACCCAATTACTTTCAATTAACTTGCATACAGAAAAGCATGCATTAAATGAAAAACTCAAAACAGCACTCATAAATACCCAATGAAGCTTTTTCAGGATGCGCACAAAGGAGCTAATTTCCGAAACACAATTACGAGCTAATTTACTTTCTGAGTCAAGCCTGTACATTTAGAACAGTTATATACATCTAAAGCATTATTTCATTTGTCTTAAATCTTAAACTGTTCACTAATTTTGGGAAAAAAACAATAGAGTGATGAATAGATGAGTGAAAAACAATTGGTTAACCAATGAAAAATGTATTAACCCAATTAAAATAGAAACACTAGAGTAAAAACTTAATTGCTCAAAAAGATATCTGGAGCGCTGTATCCCCCTTCCCATTTCACTAATATATGAACCAGACCTTGAATTTGCAAACGTATAAAAGAACATTACAAACTTAAAATACTAACTGTCTTCAAGAGCTTTATTTAGTAAAGTAACTTCAAATAAACTCTGAAAACAATTTTGTATTTATTTTCATTTACTCTTTAGATCTAGGCAAGCTGGTGAAATGAAATATGCATAATAAAAACATGTAGAATATTTGTCCCATATTGTGAGACTATTTCAGAGAAGAAAAAAGGAGCCAAAAGTAAATCAAGGTGAGAAGGTAAGTTAGAACTTCACTTTTCATTCACACATACACTCCTAGCAGCCTGTTTCTAAATACATACATGTACATGTAGAATTTGTTTGTAAATCATCCTTCCAACCATTACCTTACACACATAAGATTAATGTGTTTTAACACTGCTATTCCTATTTCAAGTATTTTGACCATCAAAACTTATTTCTGAAAAAATAAATTGTATCCAAAAGCCAAATTTAAAAAAAGCCTACCACTTTGAACTAAGAATTAGTAACAGTAACAGTATCACAACATGCTGGTAACCATGGTAACTGTACAAATGTACAGAGAGTAATGTAACAAAAATGCAAGAGCAGTAGTGAGATGGGATAATATCAATATGAACAGAATATCACGCTGTCTGCTTATGTTGGGCACCATCCTGAGTCACACAGGTTATAGACGTTTACAACTTGATTGAAACCATGACTAGTAGATCCTGATGTGGGTAAGGGACATAACTCTACATAGCATATCCTGGTGCCTTACATCACTGGGTGAACAATGCCCATGGAAGAAGCAGTAAAGTGGAGAGAGCTACAATTGATGTATGAACCAATAGGTTCGTGTTTCATCTCTTAGGCTAACCATTGTGTGAGTGAGTGAATATTATTTTATGCTGCTTTTAGAAATATTTCAGCAATATCAAAGAAGGGAACACCAGAAATAGGCTTCACACATTGTACCCATGAGGGTAATCAATCAGTGTAATGTGGTAAAACTTTAACCACTAGCACACAGTAATTGTGTGTGTGTGTGTGTGTGTGTGTGTGTGTGTGTGTATAATGTTGCATGAACCTGTTTGAAATATGCTGAGACCCAGTTGTAATCCTACCCTCATAGATAACAATAATGCTGTTTCCTTGCTACAGAATGTCCTGTCAGCCATCTATTCAGTAAAGACTTGTCGTCACACTGCTAACAATCCACTTAATATTGTTTATCTAATAGAGGAAGAAGAGGGAAAGTCATCTGAGTGAGTTAAGACTATGTTGTAACTTCTTTAATAGGCATTTAGAAGTTGGATTTCTATATAAGGATAAGAATTTATGGATGAACAACTTCTTTATTACAATTAATAATAAAGAAGTTGTTCATCCAGAATTCTTATCCTTACTCTCTGTTGTATCAGCAATCTTTCTGCCATATGCTGTATTCGCTGTAATAAGTGCCCTAGGTGCTTAGCAAATTAACAAAGTGGTCGTTTATTAAAACCATATACAAACTAAATTTGCTTTCAAAGGATCGATCAATAACAAATAAACTGAGTTAAAAAATTAATGCCCTCTGACCTGACAGGTGTTATCATGAAGATGTGATAACATGAAGATTATTAGTGTAGAATATTAGTACACATCTACTTCTGCTAAATGTATCGAATAAAACAGCATACCAAGGAAACTTTCAATTCAATTCAACACTGACATTATCAGGGTGAAAACTCTATACCTACATTTATACATACTGTTTAGGGGGATAAATGTCTACACCGACACCATGAATACATAGAGGAATAAATTAGGGGCAAAAATCAATATGACCAACTATCAAAAGTTTTGAACTCTATTTTATGAGATCTAAAATTCTAATGGAAGCAGTGGCTTGCTGTTGTGGCAGAAACTGAAAAATAATTGATGGTCCCAAATTCCCCTTTCTCCATGGAAGGAGGAGATAAAATAAGGCAAGATGGCGTTGACCTCAGTGTTGATGACGTGTCACTATACAGGACTGTTTGACGTAACCATTATCTCTTGCATCCAGCCACTTAGTCATTTCTTCAAACAAACTAATCTTCCATATTTTTCAATTCCAAGGTTCCGACTACCCATTCAAACCGTTTGATAGCTGGCCTGTAAGGTCAGTATTCAAGAACACTGAAAACATGCAAACACAGTTGGGTAAGATGTTTATCCTTCTTTGGGTTTTACAACACGGGGTCGCCATGCTTTCACAAGCACAGTGCCAAAATAAAGTCCAAACATGTGCAGCTGCAATGCTACAATCAGAAACAAGAACCACACAATAACTGCAGGATAGCCAAACATCACATACGTGTACTTCCTTTCATTGTAATAATTGCCTAAATCATCAGCAACATCTATGAAACCAAATATGACAGGGAAAATCCCAAATACAACAGATCCTAGCATGTACTGTTTGATGAGAAATATTTGGTTGGTGGGCATGGCCCTCCACCCCAGCACAGCAGCTACAACACTGATGAACCAGGCGTACTCCCACGACCGAGGAGCCGGGAGATCCCAGCGACGCAACATCTTCACTGACATCCCGAAAAAGGCAGTTAGAGCTGGCAACAGACGTATGAACATCAGGAAGCCTGTGATGAAGTGGATCAACAAATCTAACCGCAGCCTTGACTTGTTTTCAGTGCTGAAAGAAAAGATAGATGTGTACAAAAATAGATATTATCGATCACAAAATGTCTCACTCAGTAATATTCCAGGTTTATTACAGTGGTCTGTACAAAATGGAGTGTGGTCTAAACAATCCTGTGATTGACCTCTTGAGCAATGATCTACGTAAATGGGGATGCGCATAATGAATATCTTGAGTTTTATTCCTTCAATGTTTGTCATCCATCTTTTCATGAGGTCACAACTACAAATTAACCTCAGGCCAAACATTTTGTGTTTCCTATTCCAACCCATCCAAAAATATGGTAGATAGGATGTTTGTTTTGGGCGGTATCTTATTTTGTTTCTTTGAAACACAATAATTTGCAGAATGTCAAGTAAACACCTGCTGTTTTTTCCTAAAGCAACACATTTATGCTAGTGACATAAAATACAGACAATACTGTGATAAAAGCTATGGTAGCACTAAATAAAAACAAGAAAGGTTTCATCTTCCCGAAGCAAGAGAGTTAACTGACTTTAAAAGTCCAGTTTCCACCCTTGCCGAACTTGGCTGGAATTCCTGGGCTCTATCGTAGCGCCACCAGTGGCTATTACGAGTTATGTCCCTGCTGAGACTCTCCTTTAGACCAATCAGATTCCACCTCTCGTATCACTTGCATTTGCTTGAAACAAAACAGTTGCGCCCAGTCAAGACGATCTGATCAATAATCAAGGTCTATGTTGTGATAAAACGGGTCTTACATCGCGCAATGCTTGAGCACCTTGATTAAAAACATGAAAAGATTTGGAAAATATCTGTTGACAACGAGTTGGCGGTGCACATACTTTGCAAATCCTGCAATCGACCGAAATCTGCAGGACAGTTTACGAACCGGATTTCGATTTCGATGCACGATTTTGATTGGACTATGCATAGACCCGTTAGTCCAGCCAAAATGTAACTCCATAATACCAGCCTAGGTCGGCAAGGGTGGAAACTGGACTTTTAAAGTCAGTTAACTCCCTTGCCTTGGGAAGATGGAAAGGTTTAGGGTCTACTCAAATATTTACAAGGGGAGCAGTAGCCCAAAGCCCAGGTCCCTTTTGGACTAACTATATAAGCTTAGAGTAGATACAAATCAATCAAAAAAATCCTATTAGGCCTGCAATTACTCAATGCTATATATCATGTAGGCTGATCCATTAAATGTTTGAAATTGAATTTTTTGCTTTCTTCTTGTCCAAACTTAACCACTGTAATCTTAACAGATGTAAATATTTCTGTGGCTGTGAATTATTGATTTAATATCAATATTTACAAGTTTGTAATATAGATATCTTGATAGACAATGCTAGAAGCAGATCACAAGCTAGAAATAGAAATGAAATTGTGTGATTACACCTAATGTATCGCTCTATGTATTGTATGGGGAGTACCTTGATCATTGTTTTATATATCCAGTGTTATATAGTGTGATCGTACATTAAAATGATAAAATGAGGTGTAATTATGTGTTTTTAGTTCTGTTTCAAGCAATAACCATAGTATGCCATTGAAAATAAGTGTGGACCAAGAGAAGAGAACTTGCATCCGTAAGGAAAGGTAGAATATTGTAGAATACACAGAAGTATTGCGCTTTTGGTGATTTCCATATGCACCATATGGATAGAAGATTGGCACTGCCAGTTGGCTTTTGTGTTAATAAGAAAACACTCTACCACTGAACCAATAGCATTAACACACATAATTATAATGCTTGTATACTGAGTGATCAGTATAAGATTAATGCACATCAGCAGAAACGTACACAATCATGGGCATATGCATGATAAGGACTTCTTTCCAAGAAACTTGATTATTTTTTTTAACTAGGACTACATTGAAATTATTTTGGAACATTTGTTAAAAGAGGTGAAATTGCTTATCCTAACTCACAACTAACCCTATACATTGGAAATGGGTACCTAACCCTAGACACTTATTATAATATAAAAGGGTTGTTCCATCAGAAAGTGCTGAATTTGATCATAATTGATCAGTAAAATGATCCAAGGTCTGAGTATAGCGCTGGGGGTACCCTACCACTAACCTACCCAAGCACAAATACAGTGAGATGAGTGACGTGTAAGTCACAGCTGTAGCCACTAGCCAGTAGGCAATACATTTCTTCGCACGGTAACATCAGTTGAAGTGAACATATTGCGGTATCGCCAAAATCTCCAACTCAAGACAAACAAGATAAGTGAAGTGGGAGTCAATTTGCAATACGACCAAAGGCTATGCCCGTTAAACTACTTCCGTTAAAATGTGTACATGTGTGTGATCAAGAAGAGTAATTATTGGCAAAACATGCATCCAATGTGGGTCATCATGACAATTTGAGAACCAGATATTTGACCCTCACCTAACTTTATACTGCCACGCGATACTTTCCCTGTGCCAGAAATCACTTCCATCTGACCCGTCGGGCCTGTTTCCATATTTGGAGGCCATTTGGAGATATAAATACAATGTGGAATGCGGTGATTGAAGATTTTAACGAAAGGACACGGTGCAACAACTGGCCTTGGCCAGGTGGGTTTGGTCGCTCCCGATATGGCAAACTTGACTTCCGTTCCGACACCGCATCGCTGATATCAATACAAAATTATCTTTCCGGAAAACTACAATAGAATGTAACAATTTTTATATGATATATACAGGCTATTTATTCTAATGGTTATGTTACGAATACAATCACAAAAGACCGCGTTCCAAAATTTGTTAATACAGTAAGCGGTAGTACCGCTGAGCCGGAAGTAATATTAGTCAAAATATAAAATCAGAAACGAAAAGAAACAGTTTTTTTTTTATGAACAAACGTTAATCGATCAATTAGTGAAATGCCTTGTTTTTATCCCAAAATTTCAACTCACTGATAAAAAATATATTAAAGTTGTTTATTTCTGAATATTACACAAACGTATTAAAAGTTATATATGAGTTGTGAGACTACTACTACTACTACTACTACTACTACTACTACTACTACTACTACTACTAAAAATGAATTCTTGTATTCCATCAGAAGGATGCCCGGTGACACATTTCAAAATATACAAATGGCATGATTGTCAATTTTAATAATTTCTTTTCCCAAGTTTTGCAGAAGAGGTGATGTTGACTATAATTAATTGATTTGTTTGGCTGAAGTGTAAGCCGTTGCCTCCGACTTTCCCTTTCACGTGATTTCTGACAACCTGGATTTGAATAAATGAGGAACACCTGTTATATACAACCATCGACTTGTATATGGAGGGCATTCAACAACTAATAACATTCAATCGGATGTATATTCAACTCGTTTTGCGAATCGGCTAATCTCGTTATGATTGACTACAAACTGTAACTTTTTGGGTGAAGTTTAATTACAATTATCTTTTTTTATTATAACTAATCAAACGACGTATGTATCACTGTGCCTATGTCTGTGCGTGCGTCCTAAATCAAGTAATTATTCATTTTCCTGTTTAAGGAAGGTATATGGGCAATAATAATGTTATAGGTTCATATTTCATAATTAAGAAAAGGACAATCACAATAAAATATGATGTACTAACCTCTTTTATCTTTATTATTGACACGCAGTTAACGCCAGGTCATAATTCCATCCCAATTTGATGCCCATTATTATCGGCAATAACTCTTAAAGACATATATAGAATTGATTAATTAAGATTTCCTTACTTTTAGCCCAACCATGGAATGTAATGTATGTTCAAGATAATGTTTAATTATACATTTTATACTCTTTTGATTGAGAAATTGTTCACGGTCGTTACATTGCGAGTATTAAATCCACGTTCGGATGAGAAGGCCGCGCCATGTTCTACATGTTTCCATATAAACAAGTCGAAGCTTGTGCACGAACAGCAAATGGAAAATATCTAACAAATGGCCTCATATCGCCCTGTAAGAGTGTTTGCCGAGATGCAGAATCGCAAGATTGAGAAATCTCCTCAAAAGATAATACAATATGACGACAACAGGGCGGCGTGTGAGGGTGTGTCCCCGGGGGACCGGCAGATCCGAGTTACTGCTGTGGGTGAAGTGTCCCAGCCCCCTGATCTGAGTCGCTTCACTGTGCGAGTCACCAGCAAGAAGGACAATCCGCAGGATGCCAAGAACAGCGTGGCCAGGCGCCTCGACTACATCGTGCAGACCCTGCAGAACCACGGAATTAAGGTTCGAATACTATCCCCCAGACCAGTAGGGCAAAGCACAAAATGAAATACCGTATTCGACGTAATAAGGGCCCAGTTTTAATAAGCGCCCACGGCGATATTTGCTAATAATATTGGCAAGGGGTTATAGCGAAAACGGCACCTCAGCAAAACGGCACCGGGCGAAAACGGCACCGATTGGCGAAAACGGCACCTCGACTCGAGCGAAAACGGCACCTTATTTTTTTTGTTACCTTGGTCAAAAGAATGATATTAAACTTACATTGTAACTTGCAAAGGCCAATAATTGTGAGATGTTAAAAAAAGTTTACATTTGAAATTAGCCTCTGCTCCAACTATAATCCAACTTAGCTTATACGCAACTCAACTTATGGTGAAAACATAACATGCTTTAACGAGAGATAATAGAAATTAAACTCACATCGTCTCTTACAAACACAACTAATTGTGAAATAAAACAAATAAGAAATTAGCCCCCTACTCCAATTTACTCACCGACTTTTATTCACTATACGCTTTGAAGTTTTAAGTACCTTTACTCAATTTAAGCTGAAACTGTATTTAAGAGGCCTAACATGGTGCTGTCAGATCACAATTATTCACAATGGCCTTTCGATGTGTTGCATGCGAGAAGAATGACAGAAAAAAATCAACATGCTGTATCATGTGATAACTGTGACCAGTGGAACCGGACTTTCTATGGCCCGTTATAGAGAAATTTGCCGTACTGACTTCCCTTTCCGCTGTGTGAAATGCGTAGCTCCCGTCATTGAAGAGGTGATCGGTAACTTTCATGTCAGTTTCCAGTCAGAAGATGCTGAAGAAATGATAGTACCAAACCTATCGGAAATTCACATTACGGCTTCAGATGTACTCAATACATCAAATGCCATGTAAATAAACCCTATATATTACTACAAAAATCGTTGTTATCGTTATTAAACATAGAGGTTCCGTTTTCGCCCGACACATAGTAGCCGTTTTCGCCAAATGCGGTGCCGTTTTCGCCAGAGAAATCGGTGACGTTTTGCTGAGGTGCCGTTTTAGCCTGCACCCATTGGCAAGTGAACAATCCCAATTAGCATCCCTTCCGATTGATCAATATACACAAGACTTAATTATTCGTGTATAATACGTACTCGTGTGTTATATGCACCTTAATTATGGGCAATTAAATTCTTAAAAAATATATCTGTCGTATATAAACAGTTCAGACCATCAGCATAAACCACGAAAATTATCTTTCAACTGTATTTTTTTCCATGAAAATAATATTTTGATAAGAGCCTCCTATTTCTAATTTTGATAGCGCCCTGGGCGCTTATTATGTCGAATACGGTATGGGAATTATGTGACTTCAAATCGGACTATTCAAATGTTTAACCAAAGCCATTAAACACGCTAAACAATAGAAATAGCCCCTGTTAACCAGTGTTCATTAACCGAGTGTCACTATTGAGTGTACTATGATTTCCTAAAATCCCTGCATAGGGACATCTTATTCCTTGAATTTGTCACACCTACTGAAATTGTTTGCAAGATACTGACCTATGATATGGATCTGTATTATAGTACATGTGTATCTGTGGGTTTTTTTAGCGCCTTAGATGTATTTCTGATTATGTGTCTTCAGTGTTCGAAATACCTGCCTGCCCGACCGTCCGAGACGGGTTGATTTCAACTCGGGCTGCCAGATTTTCTAAATCCCCCTGCCCGACGGTCGGGTTATATTTCATATGTGAAAATATTCTTAATATTTCCCGATGATAAGCATTAATTCATATGTAAAGATGAATGATAAAATGTAACCAAAAAGAAACCCCGTTAGCTTATCCTGAGAAACATATGTTATAGTGGGCAGGCAGGTTTTGGTCAGGGCTGGCAAGTATTTCAGCTAGCCAGTCCTGTGGTCTGGCTGAAATTTGTGGGAGTTTCATACCCTGGTGTCTTATAACAATCCAAATACATTAAAATTTGGTCTTACCCTGGAGAACATTTATTTCTGTTAGCACTTGGATGGTAAAATGACCATGTCTTGATAATTTGATAGTGATAATGCCTCGCCAGCAGGTGCCATGTTGTTACCATCAAATGATTTTGAGCACCTCTATTAAAGTCAGGTTAAAATATTTGCACAACATAATCAGTCACATGACATTACAGACAAGAAGTTTACCAACAGCAGTCGATACATCATAGGTGCAATTATCATCAGATCAAGTTTGATTAGAATGTGCCTTTGTGAAAAAGTCTGTTTTGAGGTATGTTTTCGTACTACATTTGTATATTGAATATCTTACCTTGTGTAGCTTTATTCGTAACATAACTTCATCGACAAGTGGCGAAAACTTTGATGTCTTTAGTGGGCTTTGAAGCGTCTACCTTGGTTATGTCATTAAGCGCGTTGTCACATATTGTTTAACATCTTCCCCAGTCAAAGGCGTTAACCAGCTAAAAGTCCAGTTTCCACCCTTGCTGAAATAGCCTGGTATTTACAGGCTCGATTGTAGCGCCACCAGTGGGTATTACGAGTTATGTCCCTTCTATGTCCCCCCTATTGACCATTCAGATTCAATCTCTCTGCATTTGCTTCAAACAAAATGGTGGCGCCCAGTCAAGGCGATCTGATCGATTATTTAAAATCTCTATTGTAATAAAACGTGTGTTACCATGCGAAGTTCATCAAATCACTTAAGCACCTTGATTAAAAACTTGAAAAGATTTGCAAAATATCTGTCAATGCCCAGTTGATGGTACATATGCTTTGCAAATCCTGCAGTTGATTAAAACCTGCACATTGAAATGCATGTTGCTTACAAACCGGATGTCTAGTTTGTTACACAATTTTGATTGGACTATGCATAGACTTATGAGTCCAGACAAAATGTAGCTCCGGAATACCAGCCTAGTTCGGTAAGGGTAGAAACCGGACTTTTTATGGTAAGTTAGCATCCTTGCGTCGGGTAGATGATTTTTTAAGGGCTCGAAAAGAGGTGAGGCTCAAAAACATGACATGGGGATAGAAATTGGTGAATTTGTTTTGCGCATGCATTGTTTCTATGAGGCTTTGGCAACATGCAGTTTACTGGGTGCAGCTAAAAAACGCTTCACAGATCTCGGGTGAGTTGTGTTATGGTTAGGGAAGTTTGCCCCCAACTGTAGCCTCAGCCTTTGGATCCCCTTTCCGATCAAACACCACTTTACGATTATTTGGGTTAGGTACCCTTTTACAATCAAACACCCACTTATGATTCTTAGTGTTAGTTGTGAGGTAGGGTATGGGTTAGATATAACTTTTAACAAATAAATCCAATGTAATTTGAGGAAAATCAGTAATTTTTTTTATCAAGTTTCAAGTTTTGCAGAGACAATTGATACTGCACATGCTCATAAAGGTAAACGATTAGGTGTTGATCACTTGGTAAATGAACTCTAATTATTTGTGATAGAGCCCCATCGTCCCATGATTAGGGTATTGTCTGATTATATTAACTCATTAGCTTTGCTTCTTTTCAAGCTGGCAATGAGAGTTTGATCCTTCACACAATGCTAATCGAAATCGGAAAAAGTGTGCCCCGTAAAGTGCTCTACTCCTGAAGCTTTGGATGGATCATTTCGGAAAGGAAAAGCCACTAAGCCACTAAACATATCAAATGTCTCTAGCATATCTGAATGTCACGTGATTTAATACTGTAAATCTTGAAATTAACGCGAGCGTGAATTAAATGCGAAAAATGAGAGTGGTCTTTGCTCGCATTTTTAAACATTGCATTTATATCAACAATAAGACATTTTGGATAGCAAAAATACCAACTTAGATATACGCTGATGTATTCCACACCACTGTTTATTGAGCAGCACTTGTATATAAAGTATATAAACAATGTCATTCAAACACTAATTACGTCCTGTGAATTATCACTGCTGGGGTCAAGACAAGAGTTCTACTCACTTATGTCATCACTGATCACACCTGCAAGTCCTGACAGACGCCACCCTTTGTTCTTTGCGACTGCGTCAAAGGCCAACACGAGCCAGCACGAAGGTATTGTTTTTGCGGAAGTACTTTACTCAGCGCTAATAAGCGGTGCTATTTGGTGTGTGATTGGATTAATGTGAGGTTGGATTAAGGTAAGGATTCTAAACCTGACTGAGGACATCTATAGATAGAAATCCACTGATGCTTGAGAGGAGGGGGTGTCGCATTCATATTGTGTAGTATTTTTGGCTAGGGTCCAGTGGTAGCATTCTTTTGGAGACGCATTCATTTCACGATTTACAGTATACATTTTACATTTCGACTTGATCAGGAGCAGGACTTGCACATCCACAAGCACCTGTCCAGGAGTGACTCGCTGTATGTGATGGAGACAGAGGTGGGGGTGAGGTTTGGAGATATCAAGAAAAGCGAGAGTGTTGGCAACCTGCTGGTGGAGAAGCTTGATGACACGGTCACCGTCTCCTTACCTGAGTTCTTCCACACGAATCAGAGTCTAGAGAGTCTCAGGTCAGCACAAGCCATAGATACAGGAACAGGAACTCTCTCCCTATTATTTGTGTGTAAAAGTTAAGCTGAAAAAAATATCACCAACTATTGCAGTCTGTGCCAAAAACCTTTGATCCTACAAGCCTGAACCTGTCAATTGAAATAATTTTCAGTCGATCTTCGTGTTAATGTTTAGACTTTTATTAGCAAAGCTTATTATACCCAAAGGCATGTTTTACCTTACCTGTAGCATCAGGTAAGTATAAAATTAAAAACATTGCATTTAATCAGAAATGCTCATTTTTCTAGACTCAGGGTTACAGACTAGTGACTTAGTCAAAGAATGCAATTGAAAATGATGTCGATTTCCAAATAAGGAATATTAAGACAAATAAAATTGTCTGTCATGGTAATTGTGATATTGCCATTTATGGCTTTAAAGGATACCAGTATTCAGTGACAAACTCAGAGTAAGTACTGTAAACAGTGAATTTTTGGCGACCATTTTATTATTGCGAGTTTTGCGAACGAGACTCAATCGCAAAAATTAAAAACGCAAAAACCACTTCTTCCAACCTCGCTTGATCGCTTCAGTGTCCTTTGCAATTTTGTACACACAGGAAACAAGCCATCTTGCGTGTACCGATACATATCTCCACATTGTCACAATTTGTGAGTGACAACTTTCATTAAAATCCTTCTTAGATGGTTTGCATTCAAACTCAGTCATGACACTGAGTTGAGTCAATTATTATATTTGATAATCTCAACACGGCAACTCGCAAAAATATCTCATCGCAGTATTGTCTTTGGTCACAATGGTGTGGTATTCGCAATATTTTAACGGCGCAGAAATAAAGCTGTTTACAGTATTGATGAAAAGGGAATTCTTATTTCAATGTGTAAATTATGGAATTGGGAAAGTATTTGCTAATAACACAGGTTTTATTTTCCAGGAAACAGGCCAGTCTGGTAGCCATCCACAACGCGAAGCAGAAGGCACAGGAAATGGCCCGCTTTGTCCACCTGTCTGTAGGTCGGCCTGTCTACATCGTGGAGGAGGACAGCCAGGAGATAGAAGGACACACAGACACAGCCTCCGACTCAGTAACCATGACAACAATCCAGGAACGTATCTCAAATGCAACAATAACTGTACGCAGTCGTGTCTCAGCATCCTTTGAACTCAGACCTAAAGTGAAGAAAGTTCTGAGATAGGTTCATGGATCGGTTTACCAACTATTTATGTGAAACGTGACTGTGATACTTCAGGGAGTATTCTGACCTTGCACAAGGGTACACCTTGCTTCATTGACAGCATAGAGATGTGTGACCTGGCATAAGAATCACCTAGATTGTTGTTGCCTGGATGGGAAGCAGATGAGGACAGGCATTAGAATTGATAAAAAAAATATGTATTGATAGTGTGATGAAATATGACCTTGACCTGCACAGTGATGCAAAACAGTTGTTTTGCTTGAATTGGTTTTTTTGTAGAGAAAGAACACTCATGTGTAGCAATGCCACACCTACACCAGAGCTGTGACAATGTCTGATCAGCCACCTTCAAGTCGGTCCAGAACAGGCATTTCTGCAACATTACATCCGTCCAATAACCCTCATTCATATTGCTACAACAATAGTGAATGTTATTTATTTTTTACATAATGTGTATATACAATGTATTTCGATTATGGAAGTAAAAATATACTGGAAATCTGTTTTCATCATTGAGGAGTTTCAAGGGAGATAACTTTTGGATGCTTCATAGTATTAAGTTCCTGCATGTCATGAGTCCAGCAAATCAAATGTTTTTAATAGATTTTAAAATAATTTTGCAACCCCATCTGTTGTTTTGTTAATGAGCAATCTGTCTGACGATGGTAGATTGTATATACGATTATTGCTTTCAAAAAATATTTGACAATGGTTTCAAAATGCTCCGATGTCAGCTTGGGCTGGGCTGGGTAACTCGGGTACCCTGGTCAGGTGGGCACTGAGTAGTACCCGGGTACCCCCAGGACTACCAGGACCCGTAGTTAGTCATGTGATATATTGTTTAATGACAAAAATTATCTAGAACTCTATGGTTACACTAAAGTCACTAATGTTTGCATTTCTTTCTGACTATGCACCCATTCCTTCTGATTTTTCATATGGTTGAGTAAAGATATAACTTAATTTAACTTCAGTGTATGAATGACCAGATTGTTTAATACATGTGTCTAAATACGTTTTGCCAGGGCTATGCTAAAAATGTTCCCAATCGGACATTTTGAGACATCTCCTGAGACCCACAGTGGGTACCCAGTTAGGGTCGGGTAATAGGGTGGTGGGTACCCGGGTAGATAATCTGGATGCATCCCAGCCCTAATGTCAGCAAAATGTAACACTACAGGAGGGGTCAAGTTATGTGCTGAGAACTAGCAGGGATAGGCAATCACAATGCTTAGTTTCACTGCTGTGACCAAAGTCTGAATAGAGTCCAGAATCAATTCAACTTGTTTGTTTGTTCCAATTAATAAATCTTTACCAAGACAGTTTCAATGTACTGTTAAAAAAATCATGGTAATGTGAAAATGGATCTCTGCCCAACTTTCATCATATAACTTTTCTTCAATTTTTCTCTGGAAACCACTGATTTTATGATTCAGGATGGTTTTAGATCCTCCCTGTAAAATTTTATTTCAGTCTGATTTTAGGAGTGACTCCATTTAATCCATGCAACCCACCTCTCCAACATCCCGAGGATGTCTACCAGAATCTTGTATATTGTTCAGTAGACTTTAGCATCTGTGCAATCTTTTTTTTTACTTATTTATCCGCTCTTGCATTGGTGACTTCCCTTTCATTTCCCGAACAAAGCTATGTGTTTGTGAACAGTATGTTTTGTTCATCACACGATTTTAATTGGACTATGCTTAGACTCGTTAGTGCAGCCAAAATGTAATTCAGGATTTCCAACCTAGTTCAGCGAGGATGGAAACTGGACTTTTATTGTCGGTTAACGCCCTTGCTTCAGGAAGATGGCTATGTAAGTGATGAGTTTTTGAAGGCTGCCTGCTGTAAAACCTAATATTCTGGCATTCAGTGCAAGAAGTAATCTTAAAACATTATTTTGATAATAAATCTGTTGAATCATGGGAGGAGTATTTTATGTTGTTATAAATACAGATGTCAAATAGACTTCTTTGGATGTCGAAATTATGATTGATGATCATGATTGATAGTATGAAAATATTTAAATCACTAGGTGTTGACAGCAATCCGACAAAATGTTTAGCTCACCTGACATCCTCAAAATGAATTGGACTGTAATCATAGAAATGGCGGAATATGACTGGGGAATGACCTAGCAGTCATTACTTTTTTGTCAGCATAATCCACAAAATATGAGGTCATTACAAAAAATACTTCACAAATTCCTATGAGAACCTAAAAAAAGATTGAGATATGAGATTTAAAGAAACCTGTTGTATCCAATTACTGTCTTTTATGAAAAATAATTGTAAATATCCTCAGCCCTTATATGTTATATCCATGAATGAAGGTGAGCTCTACTGTGGTACTCTACCCTAGGAGTGGGTGAGGTGAGGTGAAATTGGGTTTAACATCGCGTCCAAGATTATTGCACTTATATAGCGACGTGCATGCACGTGAATGTGTGTGTGTGGCTGCTTGTTCTAGTCCGGGCTGATGCCGATTTATAGTGCTAGCTCACTGAGATACCATGCAGCAGTTTAACATGAATACCCCACTCAGACACAGTATACCGACTCCGAGCCGACCAGTCCTTGTTGTAGCCCCTTAATGCCGAGCGCCAGACAGGGGCCTAGGAGAGGGAAAGACTTTGTGGTTCCCATTTGTGTAGTACTGATTAACTAAATATTGGATTCTGGGCGTTATCCAAAAGCGTGCCTGTGGCTTGCAACATTTTGGTTGGGCTGAAGAGAAGAGTAGAGTAGATGTTTTTCTACGTTTCTTAACAACTTCTTTGATAGGCATTTAGAAGTTGGAGTACTAAGTAAGGATAAGAATTTATGGATGAACAACTTCTTTATTACAAATAAGAGCAATGTTTCAGTGTAGGTTTGATAACAGTGTTTGAACTGATTAACAGAATGTGTAGAAACAAAGGATACTTTTGGGAAATATCAGGGCAGGACACTCAACCTAAGATATGTATTAATTTTCCAAGCGCTTGCCACTGGTACAAAAGGAAAGCTATATTCTGCATTCATTGATTTCAAAAAGTCTTTTGACATGGTAAATTGAGACATGCTTGTATTTGTTATTGCAGAATGTTACATGTGGTAGGTTACATTATGTCATTAAGAGTATGTATAAAAGTGTCAAGCCGGCAGTTGGTACTGATGGCAGCAGAAGACTTTCCGCTTATTTCACCTGTTCAACTGGTGTCCATCAAGGGTGTATACTCAGTCCCTCACTCTTTTCTCTCTGATAGGAATGACAGAAAATATGTCAAAAACATTTGATGATGGTAAATTTATAAAAGATGCTATGTTTAATGTAATTGCACTTAAATTTGCAGAGGTATTTGTTTGAGACAATATGAAAAGAGATGTATGTATTAGCCAACTTAATGGTATTGGTGAGGTGAGGTGAAATGGAGTTTAATGTCGCATCCAAGATTATTGCACTTATACAGCGACGCGCATGCACGTGTGTGTGTGGCTGCTAGTTCTAGTCCGGACTGATGCCGATTTGTAGTGCTAGCACACCAAGATACCATGCCACTTAATGTCGAGCGCCAGACAGGGTAACAACAAGTACCATCTTTTAATGTCTTTTGTTATGCCGCGGCCGGGATCGAACTCTGGACCGTTCGCTCTCCGGGCGGACGCTCTACCACTAGACCACTGAAGCTGTCTTAATTATATGGATGCTCAGAACCAATCAAGTCTCTTTTGTGGATGTTAGCAGATCTTTGTGTTTGTTCAACACCGTTCCATATTAAACTAGAATCTAATATACATGTGCATGGTTATTTTTAGAAATGGAGGAATTCTCTTGGACACAGGTTCATGACTTGGTCGATGCATGTCATCATGTCCCAATTGCATGGATTGATAGGCATGATGTCATTCACTGAATTGTCTGATCCAGACTCGATTAGTTACAGACCGCCTTCATATAGCTGGAATATTGAGTGCGGGGTTAAATTACAAACAAGAAAACAAACAAACAAACAATCTTCTTCAGTGCTTGTTCTTGACGTTCCACACTGATGGAGTAATATTATCTAACCAGGTGAGCTGCAGCGCAGTGGTGATGGTCAGTATGTAAGCGGAACACCCATATGGCACCTACATCTAACTCGTGTGGTTTCCTCCGGCAATGTGTGGGAATACTTTATGTGGAAGCAACGATGCACGGACGATATCAGTGCGAGTTTATACATATACCAGCATTCAGCTACGTGCCTTCTTCAGGGGCTGGTTGGGGCGGTGAGGTACCCCAGGCTTGCATGCACAGGTTCCTTGACTATGCATTCCATGTACGAAAAGGGCTAGATCGCACACAATGAAATTCTTTCCTACCGGCCTGCAGCTACTGGTGAAAGCGTTCGTTCGTCAGACTTCATTAATTCACCACATTTTTACGTATTTGAAGCCTAAAGTTATGTCTTTCGTCATGATAACACCACGCCTTTCGATTCGAATTTCTCACGGTCCCGCTCAGTAGTATTACAGCAATACTGAGGCGCCCCCCCCCCCCCCCCCCCCCGGCAGCTGTCTGTAAAGTAACCACAAGTAAATGTGCAATTCTGTATGTAATGAGTCAAGAGTTGAATGTTCTTTAAGAAGCATACATTGTTTACCAACAAAAGATCAACCATGGTCGCATCCATATGAAATGAAAAGTAAAACGTGTGTTTCTAAAAATTCCTAAAAAGCAAAAGGCACCAGTTCAGCTCCGGAAACGAACACCACCCTTTTAGAACCTAAGTCCAACTTGTTACCATGGAAACATAAAAAATAAAAATTTATAATATTCCTAAAAAGCAAAAGGCACCAGTTCAGTATGTGCCTGGTAGACATGCAAATATTTTGTAAGAAAGTATTTAACGGTTTTTGAGTTACGCTCCGGAAACGAACACCACCCTTTTAGAACCTAAGTCCAACTTGTTGCCATGTAAACGTAAAAAATAAAAATTTCTAAAATTCCTAAACAGCAAAAGGCACCAGTTCAGCATGAGTCTGATAGACATGCAAAGTTTTGTAAGAAAGTTTTGAATGGGTTTTGAGTTATGCTCCGGAAACGAACTCTACCCTATAGAACCTAAGTTCAACTGGTTGCCATGGAAACGTAAAAATAAATTTTAAAAAATTTCCTCAATAGCAAAAGGCACCAGTTCAGTATGTGCCTGGTAGAATTGCAAAGTTTTGTAAGAAAGTATTTAACAGTTTTTGAGTTACGCTCCGGAAACGAACACCACCCTTTTAGAACCTAAGTCCAACTTGTTACCATGGAAACGTAAAAAATAAAAAATTCTAAAATTCCTAAATAGCAAAAGGCACAACTTCAGTATGTGACTGATAGATATGCCAAGTTTCAATCAAATACTGGCTGGCTGATCGCTATATCCTCTCTCCCCCCCCCATTATATGCCGGGGGGATAATAAAGCTGCTTTGAATAGCATTTCAGTTATTTGACGGCAGTTTAATGACAACCCGAACGTGAATCAGGTCGTAGAAATATGCCACTTTGATGGAACTCGAAGCATCGTTTGGTACTGACATAATTAGGATCATAATATAGACGAATCTGGGATTCGAACAGCAGACCCTGGCACCACTAAAGGACGCAGTCTTTTAACGCATATCCCTGGGCCTTAGATTGAGCTACCGGGCTCTCTACATTTCAGTACCGAAGAGTGAGTGAGTGAGTGAGTGAGTATGGTTTTACGCCGCTTTTAGCAATATTCCAGCAATATCACGGCGGGGGACACCACAAATGGGCTTCACACATTGTACCCATGTCGGGAATCGAACCCGGGTCTTCGGCGTGACGAGCGAACGCTTTAACCACCAGGCTACCCGACCGCCCCCAGTACCGAAGATGCACACACAGAGACAAATAACAAGACGTTTTCAGCAAATATGTATTGTTTAATATTTACAGTGTCACAGCAGTCACCGTCGTTGTAGTACATCAGCTTGCATTGAAATGAGGCCACACAGTGTATGGTGTCCCCAAAATCACACCTCCTTTTTGATGTATTGTTTGTTTATGGAAATAATAATATGCCAACATATTAAAAAAATCAACAACATCACACTCTGTGTCAACCCCACTTTCTCCCGCACCACTCTTCCACACAGTTCAAACACTCAAACGTCAACAATATAAATATAAATAATTAACTTCGACCGAGTCTTCCCAAATCACGTGCTAGTTCCACGTCACACGTACATCCGATAGCTGGTCATGCCGGCGGTAGGCATTAACTCATGTCACGATATCAAAGAAGCACCCCAAAATCGTCTTCCTTGGAAAGATTTCAGTCAACACAGAACAAGATCCAGAGTTCACAAATTTCTGCATCATAAATATGGTCAATGTATGTCTCATGCATTAGTTTGGTCGATGAGACTCAATCACTGGCGAACGTTCCGTGATTGTGAGCAAGTGGTCAGAAGAACGATGCGCAAGTGATCTTGCCCTCTCGAGCTGCCTATGGTGTTTTCACCCAGACCTGTCACAGTGGCCGATGTCGCCCTGTGGATGCCATAGCCGGTGGGTCTGGTGTCTGTTCCTGTCTAGCACAGTGTAGAGAGCTCAGTGTTCGGCACTGCCACAGCATCCAACCGGACATGGCTCGCGTCCATACCCCGGGCAGCGCTGACCCCTTCACCGGAAGTAGCAGCTGCACCGACGCCTACAACTCTGCTACCCCGTGGGCTCTGTTCAATGTGTACTTCCGTTCCATGTGACCCACGCGCAGGGTTATGTTCACTGGGATTCTGACCCGTAACTACTGTCTGGTTTTGACTGTCTGATGTCATATCCGGTCTGCCCAACTCGTACACTTCCTCCACCGCGGCAGCTCCTAAGGGTGCCACTCTACTCTCATCGTCATCATCCTGCTCCGCGGGTGGGGCGCCGAGTTCCCCTCCACCATCTTCAGGGTCTTGCTCTTGACAACGGGATAATATACATCCAAACTGTTCCCAGATTAGGTTTGAGATTCCGTTGCTCTTGAGAAGACCTGGACTGTGCACGTCTTGGCGGACACTGAAACATTGAACACAGTTGAGAAAACTTGTATATGAGCATTAGTTCAGGTCAATCTCATTAAAATCAGATCTTAGTTCTCGCTATCGTTAAAAAAAATCTGATTTTAATGAGATTGCAGTTCAGGTACGTTTAATCTGAAGTGTATAGATGCTGGGTGATTATTCAACCAATACATGCAGTGCGACTGTCTAAATGGTTATGGCTAATCCGTAAAAATAGCATTACGTTTTGCATAGCGGTCTACAACCCAAGCATTCTAATTCTACAACAGAAAACTAACCAACATTAGGCAAATTGTAGTATGTGCAGTCTCATTACAAACGCTAGAGCACACGTTAACTACACTCGACTACACTCATCTGGTTTCATTCACCTCACTCGATTCGACGTCACCCTCTTACCAGATTCCATTCACTCAATCGACTCACTCAATCCGATTTCACTCACTATCTCACACGATTCCACTCGCGTGACTCTCTTCACCCGATTCAACTCACTCCACTCACTAACTCACCCGACTCCACATACTCTCTTACCCTATTCAACTCACTCTACTCCACTCACTAACTCATCCGACTCCACTCACTAACTCACCCGACTCCACTCCACTCTCTAACCCGATTCAACTCACTCTACTCCACTCACTAACTCACCCGACTCCACTCACTAACTCTCCCGACTCCACTCCACTCACTCACCCGACATCACATACTCTCTAACCCGATTCAACTGACTCTACTCCACTCACTAACTCTCCCGACTTTACTCACTAACTCACTCGACTCCACATACTCTCTAACCCGATTCAACTCACCCCACTCACTTACTCTCCCGATTCCACATACAGTCTAACCCGATTCAACTGGACCCACTCACTAACTCACCGAGTCCACTCCACTCACTCACATGACTCCACTCTCTCACCCGACTCCACTCACTAACTCACCCCACAAGCCGCCTGATGACGAGGTAGATTGCGAAGGTCAGAACCAGCAGCGTGATGACGACAGCAACAGCACACACGGCAATCAAGGCGGGGTCTGAAACATACAACGATGTAGTTACGTACAAGTTGACTATATACCCATCAGAAGCTGGTTAATTACCTTTCTTGCACAAGTAACCAATACTTTGCATTGTTACACTGAATCAACATCAAACAAAGGGAAATTATCTCGCTTCATCTGAAAACATTCCCTGTCGGAATGTCCAGACAATCGAACAGTCCCATCCCTGTAATGTTTCAGCGCAATAGATTCCTACAATAACTGAACGATCTACATATGTGAGTACAATCAAAGGATTAATCAGGATTGAAAATTAAACAAACTTCTTGAAAGATGAAACGGCAAGTAATCTCATTAATATATTCAGTCGGCTTCTTCAGCTTGTCTAACTGCCTACAGCTGTGAGCCAAGCAGCTCAACACACGATGAGCCCACCTCCATTGTGTTTGTAATATGCCCAGGGGCAAGAGTACATTCGTGAAGCCCCTCATTTCAGGCTTACCGTCATTGTTTTGTGGGGTCACCACGGGGTCCGAGCTGGCCACGCGCCTGGGGTGAAGAGGGGGCGGAGTCAAAGGTCCATTCTGCTGGGGGTGGACAGGTGCCTGCTGCTCAATGTGGGAAGGTGTATTAACGGCCCCTGGAGTGAGAGAGAGAACAGTGAGGAGTGTTGCTAGCGTGTAACTTTATCAAACACTGGCACTTAATGCACCGATCCTTTCATACCAAATAACATCTGGCTCTCGTTCCTGTTGCGTAAGAAACATTTGGGTGTCCAGGATACCCCATTAGCCAGTATATTATATAGCCATACTAATAAAATGGAGATATGATACCTGTGGACTTGAGAATGGGGCTACAGATACAGGTCAGAATTAATGAACACGTGGCCACAGAATAGAATGTTTGTTTGTTGTTTAACGCCGCACTCACCAATATTCCAGCTACTTGGTGACCAAGCCATCTATCGATCATCTTGTCGCCTATTATGGCAATAATGAGTGTTGGGGACATATTCTTACCCGGTATTCCCGCGGGTCTATACACAATAGATTGTGAATATATACAAATAACTTAGATAAAGATGTACTTACCAACTACGCAGTCGTACACGACCCTGAGGAAGGTGGCGAAGCCGCACTTGGTGGTGTAGGTGCCGGGGAAGGAGATGCTGCAGTTCCTCTTGCCGTCGCAGACCTTCAAACTGAGGATGTTCTCAGTGCAGTCGTCTCCCGTGAAGGTACACAGTCCCCACTGATTCCGACCAAAGAACGCCTCTCCCACGACGATGATCGTATTTGATGGACACGTTAGCGTCACGTTCAGGGTGCGGTTCCTGTCGTCGTCCGTCAGACACATTTTCACTGGGGAATCTGAGGAGACAAGAATAGTTTGTTTGACGCAATGTCATATGGTATAATCTTGAACAACAAGTCTAAATTGATCATAATGTTGGTAGCCATTTGAATATGCTTTTTGTTTGTCTGTTAATTAACGCCGCACCCAACAATATGTCAGCTATATGACGGTTGTCTATAAATAATCGAGTCTGGATCAGACAATCCAGTGATTGATATCATGAGCATCGATCAACGCAATTGGGATACGATGACATGCATCAACTAAGTCCGCGAGCCTGACAACCTGATCCTGTTGGTCGCCTTGTAAGACAAGCACAGTCGCCTCTTACGGGAAACATGCAGTTTTATATAGTATTACAAAACATGTACAAGGCATGATCGTACCTTGTGACATGTTTCAGAGCTCCAGACAAGCTTTTGGTGTTGTGGGTACTTTACCCATGCATTTTAAAATAATTGGGTATCAGTAATTCTATCTGGGTATTCAAATTTCTGTTTCCCTCTAGTTTTTACACATGTGGGTATTTAAGTTAAATATTTAAAAACTAGTCCCTGCAAACTGGTGTCGCGTGGGTTCGAGAGCTGTATAGGACTCAAAAATACTGCGATACTTCCACAAGAAAGTGTGATGGCAAATGATCATGATATAACTGTCATCGTGGAGTTTGTAAAGGTTGACAGAATGTCCATATATAATTTCAAAATTAGTTGCTGATTTGCTAATCGAATACGCAGGGTTACTTCACAATATTTTGATGATACGCACAAGTTTTATTTTTGTATCGTATCTGTAATGTTCGTTGCGTATTTGATACGCTTGAATATTATTTCACTGCCTATTTCTGCATTTCTGATGCGTATTTTACGCAGATACGCAGCTTATCTGGAGCTCTGTGTTTTACCCATTTATCACTGTTGTCGCACATAACTGTACACAATTAAGTTCATGTGAATAAACATATTGTATTTTATTGTTATTCTAACCAAACATCCTTCAACAACACACACGTACCCTTCTCGTAAACGATTTTTAGTTATAAGGAAACTTGGAACAATTTATTTGCTCGACTTACTTCTACAGACCATTTATGGACAATAGGTTTGTGCTAATGGCCTTTAATCATCCAATAAAACTTTGACTACAATGAAACGGAAATGGTATTTCAGTTAAACATATTATAAAAATTCCTTTAATAGTGTTTCCATGACAACAGCTCGTGCCCGGAGAGGTCACATTACCAGAAGGCCTGCTGGCCGACCCTTGAAACGTAACACCTGTCGCCGACAGCACGTGCTGCACGCGCCGGTACAGAAACCACATGGCGACTTGAAATATGCTAAAACAATGTCTTGTGTCTGTTGTATTGTCGTAACCAGTTATGTTGGGATGTAGGCGCCGTTGCCTTGAGATAACGGTAATCAATACATCAATACGGCAAGGTGTCACCTCGGGCAGATCGGGAAATACGATTGTTCTTGTCTATTGTTCAAAGCTTGCATTGTTGTGAGGATTAACTTTTCATGACAAGAACATTCGCGAAGGGTGAAGCAAAGTGCAGTCAATTCACAACGTGTGGCCTGTACACTATTATCATGATTATAGGTTTATTTTTGGCGAAGTTAAAGGGGGGAGCCCAATATGATTGTACGCCAGTCAGACATACCATGTGGCTTTATCACGGCTATTCGATTCCCGACATAGGTACAATGTGTGAAGCCCATTTCTGGTGTCCCCCGCGGTGATATTGCTGGAATATTGCTAAAAGCGGCGTAAAACCATACTCACTCACTGCTAATCAAGTTCGACCCAGACATTCCAGTGGTTGAAAGCATGAGCAACGACCCAAGCCATCGGGATACGATGCCACACGGTAAGCCACACCTCCCGAACCTAAGTGTAGTCACTTTAGGCACATATTGGGTGATGGAGATAAGTCTGCCCCGAAATCCCCATGTGGTGGAGTTCCAATCGACATACTTCACTAGACTCGTGAAGATCCGGGGTAGAGTAGATCTTCAGCAACCCATGCTTGCCATAAAAGGCGACTATGTTTGTCGTAAAAGGACTAACGGGATCGGGTGGTCAGGATCGCTGACTTGGTTGATGCATGTCATTGTATCCCAATTGCGTGGATCGATGCTCACGAAGTCAATCACTGGATTATCTGGTCCAGACTTAATTTTTTACAGACCACCGTCATATAGCTGGCATATTGCTGAGTGCGGCGTTAAACAACAAACAAACATATACTTCATTACCTTAAATACATACATATACTGCTCGGCCCCGTTCCACAATGCGATCTTAGGGTTGAGTTGATCGTAACTCCCATACTTTAACATAGGCTTACGATAACTGTTGGGCTCAGATCGCTTTGTGAAACAGGGTTCTGGGCCCTATTCCACAAAGCGATTTTAGCACTGCGATTCTCGTAAGCCCATATTAAAGCACGCCCAAGTGCTAAGATGGCTTTGTGGAACGGGACCCAGCCCATCTAAATTTTGAACTTGCACACCAGAACATTCCCTGTGGGTTTTTTCACCCAAATGCTGATAAATCATTAAAGTGAAATTTTCATAGTTTTCGACAAAGCACGTTTCTATGCGAAAACGTGTGACATGGCGGTCAGCACCTTCGTGTGACCCTAGGGGTGAGGAAATTAATGAGAGGGTCGGGTCATGGGGGTGGGAGCATAAACAGACGGTAATTGAAAACATGTTAGAAACACCGCCGTGTGTAGAGGGGTGTAGCATTATAGACCGCATCAGGCTATGAATGGAGACAAGGGCCCTAATCCACCTTCAACTTCCTCGGACTCTCCCCCGGAACCTGAGGGTCAATGGTCTCGCCAGATGGCGTGCCCCACAGCCCGGTATTGGATGCAACAAGCATAACACCTGGCCTCATCGCGTTTCCTCAGCGCTGGACTATTGTTTTGTACATTTGATCTGGAAACAACATCCATGTTGCCGGCTCGAAGCCGCATGACACATTGGGCAGTAGGCTGAGACCGATTCTCAACTAACCAGGCAGAGGCAAGCATCGGCTTCCTGCAATTAGGGAAGTGTGGCGGCTCGAGGATGATCCAGAGGGGGACGGGGAGAGGGGGAGGTTATCCTCCGGTGCCTGATATCTGGAGACGCTGGGGCTCGCTGGAAGGGGCGTAGATCATGGGGAGACGAGCTATATTTAGGTTTTATGAAACCATGCAGGAAGTTAAAGGACAGTCATGTATGTTTTGCTCTGAACCATATACCATGTACGCGGCCCAGGTTCTTCAGTTCACACAAGAGGCGTTTTTATCAAGGACATCTAAATTATATATATTTTTTTGGGGGGGGGGCTTATGTGATCAATGTACATAAGCAAATCCATACATTAGCAGAGTTAAACCACTGTACAGTGTATACTGCATGTATACTACGTAATGTAGTGTACAATTGATATCAGCAAACAGACAGGAGGTACCCTGGTGATTGTGAATGACACACTGGGTTCGCTCTTGGTACCAGCAGACAGGAGGTACCCTGGTGACTGTGAATGACACAATGGGTTTGTTCTTGGTACCAGCAGACAGGAGGTACCCTGGTGACTGTGAATGACACATTGTGCCCGTTCGTGTTACCAGCAGACAGGAGGTACCCTGGTGACTGTGAATGACACACTGGGTTCGCTCTTGGTACCAGCAGACAGGAGGTACCCTGGTGACTGTGAATGACACATTGTGCCCGTTCGTGTTACCAGCTGACATGAGGTACCCTGGTAACTGTGAATGACACACTGTGCCCGTTCGTGTTACCAGCAGACAGGAGGTACCCTGGTGACTGTGAATAACACATTGTGCCCGTTCGTGTTACCAGCTGACATGAGGTACGGTGGTAACTGTGAATGACACATTGTGCCCGTTCGTGTTACCAGCAGACATGAGGTACGGTGGTAACTGTGAATGACACATTGTGCCCGTTCGTGTTACCAGCAGACAGGAGGCACCCTGGTGATTGTGAATGACACATTGTGCCCGTTCGTGTTACCAGCAGACAGGAGGCACCCTGGTGACTGTGAATGACACATTGTGCCCGTTCGTGTTACCAGCTGACATGAGGTACGGTGGTAACTGTGAATGACACATTGTGCCCGTTCGTGTTACCAGCAGACAGGAGGCACCCTGGTGACTGTGAATGACACACAGGGTTCGTTCTTGGTACCAGCAGACAGGAGGTACCCGGGTGACTGTGAATGACACATTGTGCCCGTTCGTGTTACCAGCAGACAGGAGGTACCCTGGTCACTGTGAATGACACATTGTGCCCGTTCGTGTTACCAGCAGACAGGAGGTACCCTGGTCACTGTGAATGACACATTGTGCCCGTTCGTGTTACCAGCAGACAGGAGGTACCCTGGTCACTGTGAATGACACATTGTGCCCGTTCGTGTTACCAGCAGACAGGAGGCACCCTGGTGATTGTGAATGACACATTGTGCCCGTTCGTGTTACCAGCAGACAGGAGGTACCCTGGTGACTGTGAATGACACATTGTGCCCGTTCGTGTTACCAGCAGACATAAGGCCCTTCTGTGGTACCTATAGACATGTGGTTACCCTGGTCAGTGAATGATGGCCCTTATTATCAGCTGCCATCGAGACAAGTGCTGGCGACATAGGCAGACAATGTAAACACTATCCTAAGGATGTTGCCGACCATGTCCTGTCTCGGTTTGACATTGTATCCATTTGGGGAACGGAACCAGTGCCTTCGGCGTGACGAGCGAACACTCTGACGCTCGGCTGTCCCAATGCCCCAAGCAGAGATGACTATGTATGTCGAGTTAACTTGGTAAGTAGAGACGGACGACACAACAAGCACAATAGGATAATCTCTTGATCCCTAACAGGCGACACCGTGTTACATCAGATCATTTGGATGTCCCCGGGGGTGAGAGCCTGACCCCTAGGATGATGGTATGTCAGATACTGGATATCCAGCCCCGAGGATGTGGGCCAGACAAAAGGTCAAGTCATTACCCAGCTTATTAATTATAAATGTCATAGATATACATCTGTATGTTCGATACTCTCCACACTTGTTCCGTGGCACGCTGTATAGAGCATTTGCAGTGTTCTAAATTCAGCATGTAAATTAAAGGGTTCCTGACATGGCCTTCCGTTAAACAGGGGGTACTTATTCTTTAGTACTTATTCAAATAACATAGGAGAAGACCCTAAGTGAGTGAGTGAATATTTATCACATCGGCAATATTTCAGCCATATCGTGACTAAATCAAGTTAAACAGTAATAATAGATACAGTTTGATTATAAAACCTGTCGACTAAGGACAGTAAACAACTAGATTATCACAGATGTATAACAGTTTTCGATAAATAACAATATATTATAAAAACGGACTAGGGATAGCCAGCAACCAAAGTTAGGCCACCATACTAGGGACCACAGGTCCACGGATAGCTATACTATACTGACTGTACTGATTACATTAAAAAAAAACTTTTTTTAATGTAATCAGTACAGTCAGTATAGTATGGCTATCAGTGGCCCTGTGCTAGGGACCGTCGGGACTTACGATACTTCTGCTACCTGTACGGTTGCCGAGCATGATTTACACCATCCCTTAGCTACTGGAGATGATCCTTAAGTTTAGCCAAAATTAAAACAAACAAGTATACTACTACAAAAAGATAGTAGGAATAGACTTACTTCGAATAATGTGGTCTTACATTCCTTCTCAGGGGGACAATAATTTTACAGTTCTTCAACCCCCTTTGAGGATACAGCCACAGAAGACCCTAAGAATCGGAGTGCCACTCCCTTCTCTTAGTTTTGAACACTTAGTGACTTTTTTAAATGAAAGTGACTTTAACCATGTATCGGATATAGATACCGATATATAACTACGGGAACATTGGATACATAATATAAATGCATGGTTCGAACAACAAAATCACAGTGACGTCAGTATCGAATACCTCAGTGTGTTCATTTTATGTTGTGGTTTGATCTATCAGCATTATTTTGGAAAATCTCTGGTTTGAGTTGTTTGTACAGCCGTGCCCCCGTGTGGCCCAACCTCGAGGCTGGTAATATCCTGCCCTGGCCTCCGCTACGCAGTTCTCACAGTCCTCGAACATGGGAACCATTCGCCCTTTACGTCATGCCTGTGTGTGATCTGTCACCACGTGTGGAGCGTCGGTTCGTCCCTGTGATACAGTAAAGTAGACCTATATCTGTATATATATCCCAGGCTTTGGCTATGTGTCAACGTACAAGAATGACATATTCTGTAACATCGTGTACGTTATCATGGATATAACAAGGTACCCGAATGTCGTATCCTCTGGGGACGTACGCTGGAGCAAAGTATACCATTCGTACAATCTATACGTAGTCTGTAACACGGGTGTATACGTGCTCCTCTATAAATAGGCGGTACGTACAGTTATGTTATACATTAATACCTATGTACGTGCTTTAATCGGGTGTGATATGCAGCAAGGTACGCGATAATACCTATTCGTTACGGGTGTACGTACTCTCTATGTTCGTAACTGATGTTCGCTGTAAGATCGACGGATGACATCGCCAAACGAATATTACACGGATATACACTACGGATATACACTAAATGTATATTAGGCACGCGTACGCATAAACATACGATTCATTATAATATTTATTTATTTTTAAATGTAGTTGATTAGTATCTGAAGAAAACAATGTGTAAGCATTTGTTTTGGATACCATTTTCTTACACATATATTTGGTATAGTATTAAGTTGTTTTATTAGGCCAAATGGCTAGACACGACCACTGTCACCAAACAAAATGTCATGACAACTATTTCTAACCCGGACATAAGAAATATTAAACCTGAAAAAAAGTCAAAATACATTTTGTCTAGTCATCCCCTGCCAGAGGCTACTATTACAAAGGATCAAGGTGTAGGTAAGTTATGATACATACTGGTTTTATATGGTGACATATAGGCCTTATATCAGGCAGGCTGTAGGGTTGACCATAAATAAAGTAGTTTCTGAAAAGACAGGCTTCAACACACTATGCCAGTGTGCACGTGTGGGGCTAGTTAAATATATTTACACGTGCGTTTTATATGCCACTTTCTGTACACGTGTCGCTTATTTTCATCAGGCGGAGTGCAATAGTGATGTTGCTTTCAGCAGCATCCTTGTCAGGTTACACGCTCAAGTCCATAAACTGACATTTAACATTTACAAGAAACCATGAATTAATAATGTACATTGTTCACAACTGCTAGATATATTGATATTTACCTTGAGACATCACTGTAGAAATTGACGCAAGCAAAAACAGCATCCGAACACACGGGGACATCTTATCTGTTGTAAACATCGTTGACTAGGAGATCTCCCTCTGCATCAGTATCCAATATGCCTCACCGTCAAGTTGAACCGTGTCGTCTGCTTCACCGCCGGATATCGTCTGCTACAACTGATACAGCTCACTTCTTCACGACAACACTTTAGCGCACTCGTGGGATAAAATACTTTTACTGTCGTAGAAAGCTCAAGAAAGACCCCTAAACCCTTCTAACGTCGTATACCTGTGAGTTTTTCAAGAAGGTGTTTTGCTATGAATTCTGCAAAGACATCTGCCGTTGTAACCTAATCTCTCCCGCTGCAGGGAAGACGGGTCACGGTTGGCTAGTCTTCAGAGTGATCGACCAATCAGCGCTGAGCAGAGTCGCAGCTGCACAGCGCACGGAGCACAAAGACGAATTTGCCCCGGGCTGAAAACAATTGTAGGGTGGAGCGTGCGAGGCTTTCACAACACAACCGCTCGTCAGCGGCGGGTCATCCCCTATACACGACTTCATTCAGCTGAAAATGTTAGCACCTAAATTTATTGACAAGAAAGGAAATTGTATCTGTGAACTTTAACATAGGAGTTCTTGGATTGGCTGAACTATGAATGGGAATCAACAGAGCATATCGCGAGATGGAAGATAACACAGACACAGTAGTGTAGAATGGGGAACAGGGAAAGATGGTGCCTGGGGAATAGGGGATGGGGGAGGGTTGGGTGCTGAAGGAGATGGCTTAAGGGATGAATAGCAAAAGAAAGGTACGCTGAAAATGGCGGGGTTTTAGAGCAGGTGTAGAAAGCGCGCTCTCCGATGAAGCGTAAGCTAGCTCTCAGTTTGATATGGTAATAAATCTCAACAGTGACATAATGAAGCCCATATTAAACTGACTATAATAGCTACATGTTATTACGCTGGACTTTGTACTTCATCCATTATACGTTATACATTGTCATTTTACGTTTAACATTTTGAATTGTACATTACACTGAAAAAAATGTACATTGCGCATTACACATTGTACTTAACACATTGCACATTACATAAAACACGAGATTCTTGCACATTAGAAACTGAGGAGCAGAGGAAGCTATACCTCTCAGGTGATTTATTTATGTGTTTTGTTTTCAGTTGAAAATATCTTAAGTTAGCGATATTATATCCCCTAATGGACTCTGCTGGCGCTTAGTCTGCACTCCAAGAATACTTCTGCATGCCTTTATGTTTTACTATATTATTTGATTAATAACTTTTAAAAATTAAAAACATATATTTGCATATGTAGTGTGATTTTAGTTCTATTTTCAACAGTGTTGATCTTCCTGGAAGCTGGGGTCTCTCAGTCGTAGCTAGGAGCCGCTATTCCCTGTGCGTCCCTGAGTTGCGTCCCTTGGACACGCCAAAAACCTATGATTGTGGGTTCGAATCCCGGTTCGCCCGGATTATGTTTTAAGGTTTTTCAGCACCATACCGTGCTCGTGGTTTTCATCAAAGTGGTAAACGTCGAAGACCTGCATCACTTCGGGCTTTTCTCCCACATTAAGCTGACATGCCGTGACTTAACTGGAATACTGTTAAAAGCGGCATTAAACCCACCTTGGCACGGGTATGTAACCGAACTTTGCCACATCGTCTGAGCATGTAACTGAACTTTGCCACAACGTCGAAGCAAACTTTGCCACTTGACCAGAGTGTCTGGGCATAAACCGAACTTTGCCACAGTGTCTTAGCATAAACTGAACTTCGCCACAACGTCGAAGCAAACTTTGCCACACTGTCTGAGCATAAACCGAACTTTGTCACTTGACCACAGTGTCTGAGCATGAACCGAGCTTTGTCACTTGACCACAGTGTCTGAGCATGAACCGAGCTTTGTCACTTGACCACAGTGTCTGAGCATCAACCGAACTTTGTCACTTGACCACAGTGTCTGAGCATGAACCGAGCTTTGTCACTTGACCACAGTGTCTGAGCATAAACCGAGCTTTGTCACTTGACCACAGTGTCTGTGACTAAACCGAGCTTTGTCACTTGACCACAGTGTCTGTGACTAAACCGAGCTTTGTCACTTGACCACAGTGTCTGAGCATAAACCGAGCTTTGTCACTTGACCACAGTGTCTGTGACTAAACCGACCTTTGTCACTTGACAACAGTGTCTGTGACTAAACCTAGCTTTGTCACTTGACCACAGTGTCTGAGCATAAACCGAACTTTGGCACTTGACCACAGTGTCTGAGCATGAACCGAGCTTTGTCACTTGACAACAGTGTCTGAGCATCAACCGAGCTTTGTCACTTGACCACAGTGTCTGAGCATAAACCGAGCTTTGTCACTTGACCACAGTGTCTGAGCATAAACCGAACTTTGGCACTTGACCACAGTGTCTGAGCATGAACCGAGCTTTGTCACTTGACCACAGTGTCTGAGCATCAACCGAGCTTTGTCACTTGACCACAGTGTCTGAGCATCAACCGAGCTTTGTCACTTGACCACAGTGTCTGTGACTAAACCGAGCTTTGTCACTTGACCACAGTGTCTGTGACTAAACCGAGCTTTGTCACTTGACCACAGTGTCTGTGACTAAACCGAGCTTTGTCACTTGATCACAGTGTCTGAGCATAAACCAAGCTTTGTCACTTGACCACAGTGTCTGAGAATAAACCGAGCTTTGGCACAATATCTGAGAATACACCGAACTATCTCTTTGAGAGCAGAACTCTAGAATAGACAAACAAAACTCCCAGTTACACACTTGTCTTGAGGATGTGATGGATACCATAGATGTGGAAAGTGCATAGAACAATTCACCACAGTTACACGATAGACCCGATCCGGTGAAGATTCCGAGTTAGAATTGGTCTTCAGCAAACCATGCTAGGCGTAAAATGCGACTATGCTTGTCATAAGAGGCGACTAACGGGATCGGGTGGTCAGGCTCGCTGACATGGTTGATACATGTCATCGTATCCAAATTGTGTGGATCGATACTCATGATTGTCACTGGATTGTCTGGTCCAGAATCGATTAATGACATACCGCCGTCATATAGATGGAATATTGCTGAATGCGGCGTTAAACAACAAACAAACAAACAGATTAGACCCACAAAAGGGACGGTGTGGGTTGTTATTCAGTTCCTCCGCCCGGAGTCTCGTGATGCAACATCTACTGTATTGTACTATTCACGCATCTTATAACAATAGCCCTCAAACTATTTTTATGTCAGGTTGGTGCATCAGCGCTCTTCCTCTTGAAGTTAATTTAGACTGCTAAATTGAGAGCTGTTTGTTTAATTAACGCCTTGCCCCTTCTTGCCCTGAGGCAAGCGGCAGGCATTGCTTCTAAGAAAAACTAGTCGGCCAATCTGTGATCACACGTATTGCCGGAGATTATCTAATTCACTACGACACATTGCTCCTCATTAAGCTTGTAATGAAGCAAAGGCGCCTGTGAGTCGACCCCGTCCCTCGACTGCCAGTTGGATAGTTCTCCCTCCCACCAGCGTTACCTTACCCCTCCGTACCCCCCTGCCACCTGTAGGCACAAATCCCTCATCTCTCTTCCCTACCCCACCCCACCCCACCCCACCCCACCCACCCCATCTACCCCACACCGTGAAACAATCTGTGCAGAAGGTAAACACAAAAGAACATGTTTAGGAATTATTTAAATCCTAAACGGAATACACATTTGGTGTGTTCCCATTAATCAAGTTTCGGGTCTAAACACACGAATCGAACGATCGTCTCGCAGCCTAAACACCTCCTAAACACATCCCGTAATCTAATCATGATAATAATTTAAGTTTACTACAAAATGCATATGTTTGTGTATTGTCCTAATAATTTAAACATGTTTAGAATTTAAAGATGTACTCTTCATAAAAAGAAAGACACAGGTAGTAGGTAGTTCATTGAATCTGAATACACAAAATATCCGGTAATAAATTAGATATATGTTTTTGGAAAATGTTGGTGGCCTGATATTCGACAAACGGTGCGTCCAAACGCAGCCATTGTCGATTTGCAAGGTCTTAAACGGCATTGTTTTCACACTTTAGTTATGGTATTCGTAACTCGTGGTAGTGGCTATAAAAAGGCAAGGATAAGCCAATAATTTGTCATTCAATTGTCAACATTTTTCAAGTTCGAAAATGCCGAGACTCAGCGCTGCCGATCGGAACATCGCCATAGGACGTATCGAAAGAGGGGAATCGCAGTCTTCTGTTGCACGCGTCTTCAACGTCCACCACAGCACCATTTGCCGCCTATGTGGCCGATACACACAGCTCAATTCCACTGCAGACCGTCCGAGAACCGGCCGAAAAAGAGTTACCACCCCTGCACAGGATCGCTACATTCGACTGTTCCACCTAGCTACAGAGACTGCAGGACGCAACCCTGGTTTGAGGAGGATATCGGACCAGACTGTCAGGAACCATTTTCGCGAGACTCCGACCCAGAAGACCAGTTATCGTCCCTGGAATTTGAGAAACTGGAGACGAGTGTGGTTAGCGATGAATCACCGTTTTGAATTTGAACACATTCACAAACATGTTTAGATCTAAACATGTCTAGCATGTGTTTTCATTCTAAACACATTTTGCAGTGTGTTTTTCGCAATTCTCTACCATACAAGAAAAGTTCTGTAACATCTGCATATTGTCCTGATCTACATTCTTCATTTTTAAGTTCTATCCCTTTAATTTCTGTATTGCTTCTTACAATCCCAAGCATTCAGGATGAAAAGATAGGGCGATATTGGGTCACCCTGTCTACAGCCACTTTCGCTATAAAAACACGCCAAATGGCAGGATGTAGCATCATTATTTAATATATGGTCCCGTCTTAGTAAATGAGGGCAAAACAATATTTTCAAGTACTTTCTTTATAAATACATTTGGAGTCTGTCAAAAGCTTTTTCAAATGATACGTTTCAAATATGATATCTTACAGAAGTCTTATGTTATCACTGACCCGTGAAGATCCGGGGTAGAATAGGTCTTCATCAACCCATGCTTGCCGACTACGCTTATCGTAGGCCGCGACTGACGGGATCGGGTGGTTAGGATCGCTGACTTGGTTGATGCATGTCATCGCATCCCAATTGTGTGGATCGATGCTCATGATGTCAATCACTGGATTGTCTGGTCCAAACTCGATTATTTACAGACCGCCCTCACATAGCTGGAATATTGCTGAGTGCGGCGTTAAACAACAAACAAAACAGGCACTCAGTTCCAATTAGCTATCTTTATCATGAGGCAAAATCTTATAAACGGCTTTCATTTGAGATAACATCGAGCAGAAGGCCTTGTCATTTCTTTGCTTAAACTACGTCCACACAATGCAGAGCGAGAAGCGCCAGTCATAACCCACAAACGATAATGAAAAAAATGAATAATTTATCGACCCGATTTTAAAGACGACTAATTCCTTTGATAAACGGAACAGAGGCACGAATGATTTTTGTGCGGGTAA